ACGGCATCGTTGACGTGTTTTGGACGGACAGTAAGATAGTCCTAGGCTACATCAACAACGACGCAAGACGTTTCCACGTCTTCGTAGCTAATCGAGTGCAGCAGATTCGAGACAGCACCTCACCCGACCAATGGAAGTACGTAAATACCGACGAAAATCCAGCCGACGACGCTTCAAGGGGTCTATCTGCTCAACAACTGAACGAAAACTGCCGATGGCTTAATGGCCCCTCCTTCCTTTGGCAGCCCGAACTCCAAACGACCATCCAAAAAACCTGGATACCTTCAACGGACGATCCAGAAGTACAGAAAGCAAAATCCTTAGCAACCCAAACGTCAACCTACTTTCCCTCAACCATAAGCCGGCATTAGTATTTTCTTCTTGGTATCGCGCAAAATGAGCCATCGCGAATTGTCTGAAACCTTAGGACCGGCTATGCAACATAAAGTCGAGGCAACATAATCAGCACTTGAACGTGGACAATCTCCGTCAAGTTGAAACAACCATCATCAAACTGGTCCAACAAGTAGCATTTCCCGAAGAAATGAAAATCTTGCGCTCTTCCCAAGAAGACACTTCGACCAGACAGGGAGCAGCCAAAAGCAAAGCATCAATGAAAGGGACAAGTTATCTTTACCGGTTGGACCCATTCAACGACCACGACGGAGTCCTGAGAGTTGGTGGCCGAATCAAACGTTCCAACGCCCCTCATCACGTCAAGCACCCCGCTATACTTCCAGGGAAGGGACATGTCACAACACTGATCATACGGCACTATCATCAAGCACTTAGTCATCAAGGACGTGGTATGACTTTGAACGAGCTACGGTCGAACGGGTTTTGAGTAATCGGTGGAAGCTCAGCTGTGGGTTATCACATCGCTAACTGCGTCTCTTGTCAGAAACTTCGCTGTACTGTCCAAGAGCAGAAGATGGCAGATCTTCCAAGCGACAGACTGGAACCTGCACATCCGTTTCCGTTCACATACTGTGCCGTCGATTATTTTGGCCCCTGGTATATCAATGACGGAAGAAAGGAACTTAAGCGGTACGAAGTTCTATTCACATGCTTGGCATCCCGTGCGATACACCTAGAAGTTGCTAAAACGTTGGAAACTGATTCATTAATCAATGTCTTACGCTGTTTCCTAGCAAGACGAGGACCTTTCAGACAACTCAGGTCAGACCAATGAACCAATTTAGTTAGTGCACGAACAGAGTTAACGAAACCCTAAAAAAGATGCATGGATTGTGACGAAATACGACAGTTCATGGTGAAAAGGGAATGCGATTGGTTCGAATTCAAGCTAAACACCCATACAGCAAGCCATGCTGGAGGTGTCTGGGAGCGCATGATTCGCACGGTACGGAACGCTCTTGACAGTCTTCTTGAACAGCACGGAACACAATTGGACGAAGAATCCCTAAGAACCTAATGTGTGAGGCTGAATCGATTGTCAATAGTCGTCCTATTGTTGCAACAGGAATGAACTCCCTCGAGGTAGAACCACTGACCCGAAACCATTTACTCACCATGAAATCACGAGTGTTGATGACTCCGCCGGGAGAGTTTCAGCGCGCTGATGTCTATTTGGTTAAAAGGTGGAAACGAGTACAATATCACGCGAATCAATTTCGGGAAAGGTGGCGAAAGGAATTCCTACTGGCACTTCAACAAAGACAGAAGTGGAATACTCCTCGTCGTAACGTACAGAAAGGAGACGTGGTGCTGCTGAAAGAAGATTCTGCACGTAAACAGTGGAAAACAGCGCGAGTAGACGAAACGTACGCAAGTGAAGACGGACTAGTAAGGAGAGTGAAGATTGTTGTTGGTGATCCGTTATTGAAAGAGAAAGGGCAAAGAATACGAGCAAATTCAATCTTAGAAAGACCTATACAAAAACTGATAGTACTGTTAAATGCTGATGAAATCGAAGTTAAGAAAATGAAGAGATTCCCCTTCGAGGAGCCAAGTTTGAAATGTGGTCAAATGTGAACAATTTAGGGGAGCCATGTAAGCGCTCTCGCGAAATGTTGGACACTAGAGCCCAGGCTCTTGTATACTTTTGGATTGAGATTGTGTGTGAGAAGGAACATAGTATGCGTGTGTTGATCTTTGCGAACTTGCAAATAATATAATTCATAGTAAACTAATCCGTTTGATATTGAATCCGTTTCTAAGTGCGTTACCTGCGATTGTGGCAACATATAGAAGACAAATCGGTTAGTACATTTATACGATATTTGTCAATTTGACTTTATATTTTGTTCTGTTTAACGCATAGTTTAACGTGAAGTAAGAGCGTACTTATCTTTGTATTCTAGTTGACGTCAAGTCTTGGATTATTGTGATGTTACGATTAAATACAATTCAAACAAGGCTTGTCAGTTTTGATTTTGATACGATTTAATTCCTCGGTTGTATTCCAAGTGCCACATAAAACTCGTGCGAAACGTCGAAATTCGACCGGGAGTTATATTATGGTTCCCAAATGTTTGGTACCTGTTTGCTCAACTCCTTGAAGGTACAAAGAAATATGTGTATTTGTATATATATAAATATTATAAATAAGTATTTTATGTTATATAATATAGTATTTTATAATATACTATATTATATATTATACTATATTTTACTATTTTATATAATATATTATGGATATTTTACTTTGCAAATCATGTGTAATAATCCATCTTTATATGTTCTCTAATTATATTATGTTATTTATGTCTTCGGAAGTGTTCCAGCCAAAAAATACTGTCCAACCGACATTTTCCCATTTTTGGCCCCCACACCTTGTTTGACAAATGTGGTCAAACGTCCGAATAACTTTGAATTTTCAGAAAAGCAAATGGGTTCATTTCTTCAGGAATGACGGATAAATATTTATTTGGGTGCACTGATTGTGCGCACCCATGGTACAAATAGGGTTCAAAATGATTACAGAGTGTATTAAATATACGGTACAATAGTCTCTCTTACAGCCATTCTTTGAACAATATTTGTGTCGTCATGTACTCCTCTACCCAAGCTCATGAAGAGGAATTAAATCACAACACAAAGAGCAAATGCAAGGGAGACTACTTGAGTAGCGGTCAAATTTTTTATGAGACAATGATGGCAGTGATGTATGAAAAATTATTTGGGCCATGAACGGAGCCGTAATATTAAACTGTACTGTATTAACACAATTTTTGTATTGAAACAAACAAATTTTGTTTCATATACCCCCTCTTTAAAGTGATAAATTTATTTCATACCCCATCCAGATTCCTGAAAAAAATTTCATACCCCATCCGAATATCCTCCGCCCCGGGGTTGCACTTACTTTATGACCGCTCCCTTAGGGTTCAGTGTAGATAGTATTGTACATCAAGCTACTGTTGATGTGTCTTTCAGAAAGTTCAGACACAAACAACGGCATGTAGAGTAGGAACCTTTCACTGGAAAAAGAATTGAAAATGCATAGTAGGTCATAGAATGGAAATTGTATGGACCTTCATTGGAAATAGAATGGATTTTTCTTATCTATAATAATTGTATGTTTCCATAGTATGGAAATAGGATGGATATACATATATGGATTTAGTGGTGCCATTGTAAATTTCGTAGTATGGAGTTCACTTTTTTTTCCTGTGTTTAGCAGTGACTACGAGTACGATGACGAGATTCGTCAAGCGAAACGCGTGCTGTAAATAGATGCTGTATGCTTACGTTAAGCCATTTGAGTACGAAATTTTGGAGAAATCTTGTAGTCTTCACGACGACTTATTAAAAAACAAAGAAAGTTGGTAGAAATTTTAGTTATAATCCTAGTGCATTATTTGAAAGCGGAAGCGCAAACTAGATCGGAATTGTTGAACTAAATATGTGGCTTCGGTTTTTAACCCCACGCCACTTATTCATGACTTATTTGCACTTAATCCTCATAGAACGAACTAATTTTGTAGGGGATTTTGTTTGAACTTTTTCTCTCGGTGTTTGTTTACTGCTAAAGCAACATTTGAACAGAAACGAAAACGACTACCACTTCCTAGTTGCTGCCAAAGCTCCCTGGTACTGTCTGCAGTGAACCGCACAACATTTTAATAGATTGGTTTCACTACGTGTGACACAGTGCAGTATACGGTGGCCATCTCTAATAGGAAAAAAGGTTATTCCGGAGTGGCTAAATTGTTCACTATATATATTCACCTTGCATGTGTTTGGTGGCAAATACAGTACACGCAATGGAAACATTTAGCGTCATTTGGTCGCTTTTATAACTGTTCATACATTTGAAATTGACCATCATGTGTACTAACACCATATAACACACTTAACTGAAACGCAACCATAAACCCTTTGCAACTAACCTTAAAATTTAGCTTATGCGTAAATTAGGGCAGATTGTACATAAAACCGGACATATTTAACAGGCAGACTCTGCACGTCACATATTAATTTAAAATTCTCAAGAAAGGCGTAGGCAGAGACCCACCCCCAACGCCGTCGACAAAATATTTTTTGAGTTGATTAGGGAAAATGTTTTGGTAGTGGCCGAGCAATTTCCATCAACGTTGGGCAAATATTGTCCGCCCCCTTCCCCCCCCCCCCTCCAAATAATTGCACCCGCAGCCTATGCGATTAGTTTTATACGATTCTTATTAATTACTTGTTGCAATGGAATAAACGGTTGTAAATAAATTTTGCCATAAAGTGAAGAGTTTGGGCGTCAGTAGCAATTTTCATATGCAGACTAACGATCGTATACGATTAATCGTATCGTGTAGACAGAACTTTACTGGCGATTAGGTCTAGGTATTAACGAACTCCAATTATTTCATCAGCAGATTTTTTGCCATGGATGAGTACTATCGGTCTATGGGAATGGGTGCTCTAGGAATAACCAAAACTGACTGTCTTCAATTTTTATTCCAGAACAAAAACTACACTACACGTTTTCTTTCCCTCAAACTGGAAGCAACTTTTCCTGTATCGTATCTTCTTCATGCCCACAAATGGATGCACCTCCCCAGTGCCCGCCCGGATACGATGAAGTGCGGGAGAACTCGAAATGCGGGTTGTATTGTCGAGATATCGTGGGTTACACATGGCGCTGTCCGTGCAATGACTGGATGTCGTGTGCTGTAAAAGAGAGATATTTGTGGGGGTGCGCCGATGGTTACTACAGTAGCTTCAGGGTTCGAGAATGCGCACAAGGTTTGTTTTTAATGTATTACAGTAGTTTAAAAATTACAAATCTAACAAACCGTACCAGCTAAAAAATTGACTGACGCAATCAACCTGCCTACCTATCGACTTGCAGACTGACTGATAAGACATGAGTAGTTTTAATTATACAGTAAAATGGGTTTTGCCCCGAGCGACGGCGCGAAGCGCCGTGCAAGGGTATTAATTTCCCCCGGCTATTTACACCCGGGGGAAACAAAACCATTAGCGAAGTCTAAAGTTCATCAATAATCGCGGGCGTGGGTCACTGTGCGTGTTTCGGTGGATGGTCATCCTCACTGATCTCATAATATAGCGGACTGTCATGAATAGCCAACACAGATTGGTCCAATTTAAAATTGGCATTATAACGGCTGCATAACGACAGCGAAATTGATATTTTGATGATTTCTTGCAAATATGTTTCATTTTCGCAAGATTTTGTAAATTTCAAAAGATTTTTGATAAAATAAAGGCAAAAGAATTGCTAAAAGAAGGGAGTAAATGTGCCGACGTTAACGAAGGTAAGTTTGTTTTAAATATTGATGCATTGTTTGCTTTTAATATACTGCAATTATTTTAAAAGCCGATCGTTGCGTATAAATATGAAACAAGACAGCATATTATTTCAGTGTTTCTTTACTGATTATCCTTTTTATTATACTAAGCAAAGTTATTTGCATAGGAGAATTTGGAATAATTTTATTTCGAACCCAAAGTTTATCGATAAAGGCAGTTAATTTTAGTTCTATATTAAAAGAACACTTTAAAACGTTTTGCGAAGCGTTTGTGGTTGACTTTTACTTTAAATTGAAGCTTATATTACGTATAATAACATACCTAACATATATATGTTTGGGAAATTGATAATTTTGTAATTAAAAGTGATATTTCTAGGGGATTTTTCATTTGTAAAAATATTCTTAAAAAATTATCGTGTAACCATGACAACTACTTTAAATACTTCACGTTCGGAAAATGCGATGGTTTTGTCAGCAAGGGGAGGGTTTTTGCATGCATGTATTTTCTAGTACATATAGATAACTGCAATTTGCCTATGTATATTTCTAGTATTGAATACAAAGTGATATGAACTACAATTAGTTTATCTTCTTTAGTGGTAAGGTCTGGTCGCTGTCCTGCTGGTGGGAGTCCGGGATCTCAGCAATCGTGTAACAGTGACACAGATTGTCCGAGTGACGAAAAATGTTGTAACTCGATGTGTGCAACGATAATCACAATAGGTAAGTGTGATTCTATTTATTTTGTTTAATTTATACTGGTTAGTTTTACCAGTTATAACATGTTGTCTGTTCAGGCCCAGTATTAATGTGATGGTCATCCCTTATTTTCCAAATGTTACTAAAGGAGGAAACCGAAACCTAACAGTTCATGATTGTTTTCTTTTGATGTAGAGCGGTGATTAAAATAGCGTTGCCATCATTGTTTCCATCTATCTATCAAACTGACATGACGCCATGTGTTAGATGGCTTTGTAACTGCACCCAAACCCTAGCCCCACTCTAACTCCTAACCCTAACCGCATCCTTTACTCTAGCCCTAACCAAATTAATAAAAAGTCCAAAAAGGGACAACTTTAGAAATTGACCAAATGACGTAACGTCAATTTGGTGGATGGAAACAAGTGAAAACAGTTTACCCCGATCTACCAGTTCAGGGTAAATAAGCCAAGGAGAATGGCATTAGAAATGAATGAATTAGAATTGGCACGATGCAGTTGCAAAATCCCGACCCACATAGACATCAGCCGTACAGTACCCCAGACCTGTTACGCTCTATGATAACGTAAGAGTATAGATTATTCGCTGCCAGAGAACAAACAGGTCAAAGCAGTAAAGCAGTCCAAACATATCCACAACAAAATACTGGATTGCGCAAACAGTTCCAATCTCTTCGTCCTAGACCTAGACCTAGAGGCGTTTATTCAATTCGTTCAATGGTACTGCAGGAGGATATGTACTCCTAAGCTGTAAACTAACTTTATTTATATACTGAATATTACGGGAACCACTGAGTATTTTAATTAATAAAATATAAAACAACGGTAACTCCGAAAATAAACATTTTAATATTCAAAATATAATGAATATTAAAATGTTTCTTTTCGGAGTTACCGTTGTTTTATATTTTATACTGAATATCTCCATCAATCATCATATGTATAGGAAACTAGAGTACTAGGAGTAACTATGCACAAACCACATGTGCAATGAACCTCTTCAATCTTAATTCAAATTACATCTAGACACTCATTCGTGCCGGAAAAACAATGGTGGATGCGACCAGCTATGCTTTGGGGTACCTGGTGGACGTAAATGTGGCTGTGAGAATGGAATTGATTATGATGAAACTCTATCCAAATGTCTAACCGATACCACACCTACAAGCACACCACCACTACCAGCCACTACACCACCACTACCAGCCACCACACCACCACTACCAACCACCACACCACCAATACCCACCACACCACCATGTAAGTTTATGCAGCGTGAGCGTATTTCATAGTACGTATATGATAAGCTTATATAGGGCAGTGCTATTAATTGAACTCGTGAAAGTCCTGCAAAGGTCATGTTTTGTTGTCATGTGTTGCTAGAGGAGGAAACCTAAACTAGACTTATTTTATTGATGCTGGATAGTTCTATCAGTTTTAAACTATTATCCCTAGATCTATTAGTAAGTGTCATCCCTTATTGATCCAGTGTTACCACAGGAGTAAATCTACACTAAAGTAACTTTATTTATGCTGGATAGCTTTTTTAAGATATATAGTAACCTGTTCACACTATAGGTTCAGTAAATGACTAATTGTCATGTACGTATTGGTGCTGTGTTATTACCAGGAAGAACTTGAACTGTTAAAGTGACATTGTACTGGATAGCTCTTACTATCCATTATAAGCTGTACTGTCGAGAAGTTTTGTAATTTAATAAGGGTTATCTCTCTTGATCATGACTACTACAGGAGGAACTTTGGTGTTTGCCAGAGTCTGCTGGGTGCACCCTTCTCATGACGTAGGTGAAATTGCAATCCTGTTGAAATGTATTCAAATAACTTTGTTTAGCTTGCACGCCACACCCAGCACCGGAGCACGGCTCGGTGACTTGCGATGCAGACCCTGTGCCACAGTTTGGAAAATGTCGTTTCACATGCGACCAAGGATACGAATTAAAAGGAAACGCCTTGGATATATGTGTGAATGGTGAATGGATTGATGATACGCCTACCTGCAATAGTAAGTGTAATAAAATATCTTCATTCAGAATGGATAGCTATATTTGTTTTCAATTGTTCTGTCTAGATCGGCTCAGCAAGGATTATTCCTTATTGATCCAGTGTTACTATAGGAGGAAACCTAAACTATGTAAGCTCTTTGCGTATCAATAGTGTAGACTGATTTCGTAAAGTTTACGGGGGTTTTACTTGAGTAGCCTGGGGGGTTCGAATTTCGTCTTGAACGCAGATAGAGTAGATGAATAGACGTATAGTCGGTATAGATTTCTTTAATTCGGTGTTCAAATATAGCAACAATCAATAGACAATCAAACGAGTTCGAACTATAAGGAAAAATAGTGACTAAACTAAATACCATGCAATAGTTATACTAATATACTAAATAAACTTGACCATGCTAAATTACTGTCTAAATATAATATGCGCATGCTTTCTAAACTAATTAAGCAAACAATACAAATACATAAATCCTTCTTTGGTGTCCTCTTGTTCCTCAAGTAGTGTCTAGTAATCTTTTCTTCGTTTTCCAATATACCGTTGATAATATTCGATCCTTACTGATCGGTCGTACTGTTCTATCTGATCTATCACGCAAGCCCCCTTTGCATGTGACGTAACAAATACATGCCCAGAGGCGTGAGGGACGTTTCAAACTAACAAACTAAACTAATTTTATTTATCCTGGATACTTCTGTCATTTCTAAAGTGTTCTTCCTGAGATCCTTAAGGTTCATATAGCATATTGACCCAGTGATACTACGGGTTATCTCTTATTAGTCCAGGATTACTACAGGAGGAAACCTATACTAAACCAATTTATGCTGGTTAGCCCTATCAGTCTCAAACGGTTCTTCCATGATTATCTCGTGTATTGATTGGTCATTTGATGCTTTTGATGAACTACAGTACCATCTCTTATTTATATAAATTTTATTTTAGCCCGGACTAAACCGACATTCTCTCATTGTCCTAATGATACAAGTGTTCCCACAGACCCTGGGAAAAGTTACGGAACAGTAAATTGGAACGTTCCCACAGCGGCGGACAAAGACGGAGTCAATCTTAATGTTGACATTTTCCCCAGTGGTTATGATCCGCCAGTAAAAGTGAATATTGGACGGCACAATGTTCGTTTAAGCACGAGCGACAAACATGGAGTACACGCGTATTGCTATTTTCATATTATAGTTGAAGGTTAGTTGCATGACTACATTATATTTTAAATGTAAGGCCAGGAGCAAACGTCACTCTTCACATGCGCCAATGCTAATACAATTCATTCGACATTAATAAATAAATGACATACAAAATATTTATACTGTTTCATATTTGATGTATATACTGTATTTTGTACCGTAAACTTTCCAAAGTGCAGGACTATGTAGTTGCCTGGTCTTTCACAGTTAATATTACAGGTAGCATCTACTCATTTTAAGTTGTAGCCTAATTTGTCATCCTTTTCTTATATAGGTGCATATGAAACTTTCGCTATTATAATTTATTTATAGAAGAATTAAAAAAAAACATTTCTTTTCTAAATAAACCAAAACTTCACAGTCGCTGATAAATATTTAACTTGTATTCCAGCCTGCATATAGCTAATATCTATAATAAAATACATGCAGTACAGTATAATATCACAGGTTGTAGCTTAAAGTATTTGAATATTAATAGATTATAGATTGGCCTTTCGGCGCATGAGAGTTGCATATATAGTGCGACAAGACCTGTCGCTCCAACGTCTCACACTGATCATTTTATTAAGGCACCCATCACACAGTGTTCATCTTATAGGTTGTTATTTACCAACTGAATCTCGAGGTCTCGAGTGTAATTAAGGACTGCATGCATCAAACGTCGCTCTTCTCATGCACTGAACCTAATAGCTGAATTTAGTATTTTCACAATTTGGCACTTACACGGTTATTTCAACATCCGCTATCTCAAACATTTTCCCGCTTCCTCGTATTTTTGAGATAGCGGGGTTCCACTTTAACTATCATTAGAGACCTTACGATTTTAGGACGGAAACGCGACGGCAACGGCTACCAATACAATAGATCATTGAAAAGAATTGAAAAATTACAATATATGAATAATTTAGACATTGTCCTCACTCTGTTTACAACGCCAAATCACAGATTTTCACGTCTTGATACAACGGCTGCATTTCAAGCCGTAACAAGTGCAACTTCAAACTGGGTTCATGATCAGGAGAACTTTTCCCAACCATAAAACCCATGTCGTCAACTTCTAAGACTGTATTAAATTCATACGATTGATAATGTACGACGAATTATCTTTACTACCATTTATTTGAAGGAGTTTGTTTTGGTCGTCGTGGACGCGTTGCCATCCTAAAATCGTAAGGTCTCTATTATTATTGCAGATCGAGAGCCGCCGACCTTTGGTTCAAGCTGTCCAAATGACGTCACACTATACACAGATAACGAGGATTCTGTCCGCTTACCTTCCTCTGTTAAGAAGCCAGTAGCCATAGATAATGCAAAACCACCCAACCTTTACATTAAAAGCTACACTCATGACTCTTATTTCCCTATTGGCACCACCATGGTGAATTACACTGCTGTGGATGCCGCAGGCTTATCTGCAAGTTGTATTTTTTGTGTGACTGTTGTCAGTAAGTAATTTATTGTTAGTAACATGAGCTTTATTTCCACTGAACCCCGAAGTTTGAGATATCCTTTTCATCATGAAAAAGACAACTCAAACTTCGGGGTCCAATGCAGATAGTATTCTACAATAAGCTGCTTTAGTAGTGCAAAGAAGCCAACTTGACCAAATCAATTCTGACGTGTTCCCTTGAACTTCTTTTCAGACGTATGCCGCGGTGTGACTTGTACACATGGTGCGAAATGTGCCCTGGACAATACAACTGGGAACTCTTACACATGTGCCTGTAACTCAATCTGCCCACAGGATTACGACCCTGTTTGCGGCTCAGATAGTCAGACTTATAATAACGAATGTCTCATGAATGTCACAAGATGTTTGTCACGTAGAAATATTGCGGCTGTTAGCAAAGGAACATGCGAAGGTACAGATTATCATTGTCGTTCGCCTCCACCCGGCGAACCCGTTCAGCATTGTAGAACTGGAACGCGAATAAAGAGGACTCTCAAAGTGGCTTGGGCAGGCTAGGGTAACAAGGCAGGGGGTAACAAGCAACATGATAAACATGCATGAATGTTGCATTTACACTCAAAATACAAGAAAAGTTCGCTTCTTTGGTTTGGTGACATTTTCTGTGATTTGTTCTGTCTTTCTGCAATGTAACAGTTAATGACGAATACCGAGATAAAATTCACATTTCGCAGCCGTCATCTGTTAAAATGTAGAGAAAAACGAAGAATGTATCTTTCGAGTGAATGTATCACTACAAGAAAAACTGAACAACAGGCTACAGAAGCAGTAGTGGGGAGGCTCTTGTATTTTGACTGTAACGTCTCCTATTATAGCTAGGGAAGCTAGTACATGAAGGAGCCGCCACGTGAGTGATCTAATTGCATGAACAAAGTATTCAAGCACAAATTACAAAAATCATTAACGCATCATTTTAGCACTACACACGATTGTAAAGAACATTCCAGGTTATGATTATGCAATGCACATAAATAATGGTCGCTCAACCCGTCAGATGGACGAAAAGTTTTAACTTAGGGGGTCTACACCCTTGAGCGCGTTCCATACGTCGTGAAGCGTGGCAATGCGTTTGTGATGCCACAGTGAGCTCTCTATATATGCACGCAGTAATATTTTCAGTCGAAGCGTTTTTGTGCATGGAAATTTTTGACCGGAAAATTATATTATCCAAGGAACAGCTGTGAGAATTGTAATTCTGGCAGGAATTGAACCTCCGCCTCTGCTGTTCCTGTACAGCGCTTTAACCAACTGAGCTACAAAAGTGAAGCCAAGTTATTGCAAGAGAAATGAGGATGATGGAAGTTGACTTTCCTTGCCGCAAAACCTTTCCAGGGTCTAGATGCGCCTTTAGGAAATGATAATCTCTACAGGGTTTTAGAAACTTGTACCAAAATTCTCGACAATTTTCGCTGTATTCCCACGTTTTAAAAGTAGAGCTGAGGCTGTGATAATAAGTGCAATATGAAAATGTTCGACATATGAAACAGTAGAGTTTCGGATTTCTTCGTACAACTTTAATTAAGGATGTTAAAGATTTTGGAACTTTTCTATGACATGCACAGCACGAATACAATTTATGCTCAACGATACCATCACTTTATTTCGGGTGACGATTGCAAAACAAAAACATGCAGATACGGGGCATCATCTATAGTTCTTGGGGACAAAATCCAGCGCCGGTGCACTTATCTGGTCACATGTCCAAGAACATATGATCCAGTCTGCGTCTCCGACTTACGGATTTGTGACAACGAATGCAAGATGCGTAAAGCTGTACGTAAAATGTGCTTTTAAATGTTACATCTAATTTTTACTTTTTATCTTTCAGGCGTTTGCAGCACAGTGCAATGTGATCATGGGGCAACGTGCAAAGTTATCGGTGGTGTAGCGAAATGTGCATGTGACTTCACATGCACAGATAGCAAAAGTCTAGTTTGCGGTTCAGATTTACAAACTTATGACAATGAATGCAAAATGCGTGAAGCTGGATGCAAAGCAAAGAGAAATATCATCGTTCTTGTGAATGGAAAATGCGGTTAGTTTGTTCACAGTTTATAATAAGCTAATTTTATTTATACTGGATAGCTTCAGCTGTTTTAAACGGTTCTCCATATATAGAGGTCCAGTCAATATCATCCCATATTGATCCATTGGGACTGCATGAGGAAACCTTAACTAAATGGGCCTCCCCAAACTGCTCCAGCATTAGAATGATTTGAGCCTACCTATGGCAACCCTAATATAAGCCGGATTTTGATGTAAAATACTGGGGGAGATGGAAAATTTTAACAAATCAGCAACGGTCTGAGCCCCACTGCATGTCCCTGTTATGTTAAGGTTTGCGACAATAATAATGCGATTTTGTCCATCATTTGACTTGCTTTATTCTTGAATGGTGGTGTAAGAATTATTGCAGAAGTTGTGTAAACTATCTAAGTAAAACATGATTATGAATGTTACATGCATGTATTTTACTCACTTTATCTTTCAGGGGACTGCAGCACAGTGCAATGTGCGTATGGGGCAACATGCAAAGTTATCGCAGGTGTAGCGAAATGTGAATGTGACTTTACATGCGCAGATAGCAAAAGTCTAGTCTGCGGCTCAGATTTACAAACTTATGACAACGAATGCAAAATGCGTGAAGCTGGATGCAAAGCAAAGAGAAATATCATTGTTCTTGTGAATGGAAAATGCGGTTAGTTTGTTGGCAGTTAATAGTAGATTTATTTAACATTATTTATACTGGATAGCTTTATCTATCTGTGATAAGCAGTTGGCCCTGGAGATCCAGTCACGATCATTCCTTATTGATCGAGTGAGACCATAACAGGAGACCTAAATGGGTGACACATTGCTGGTTCAACAACGGTCTGGGTTGCAGTGGCCTTGCATGTGATGTTAAGGTTTCGCAGTTACCGGGTAAAGGCCTACCTAAAATGATTTTTGTGATTGGCTTTCAGAAACATATCAGAAACAAAAATGATCACTGTTCTTGACTCGTTCTTTAGAAAGACGATTTCTATAGTTTTATTGTCTTTCATTGTTATAATCAACCAACCACGAGCTCGGATAGTATAAAAGGATGATGACCCGGGCTACTATACTCTGACAAAGTACGGTTCAGAGAAATTTTGATTTTTCGTCCATCGTTCAACATTCTCAAAGGGAGTTGCATGAATTGTATTAGAGCAGGCGCAAAAATTCAAAGTAAAATATCCTTTTGAATGTTGCATTTACTTTTACTCTTTATCTTTCAGGCGACTGCAGCACTGTGCAATGTGCGTATGGGGCAACTTGCAAAGTTATCGCTGGAGTAGCGAAGTGTGAATGTGACTTTACATGCGCAGATAGCAAAAGTCTAGTCTGCGGCTCAGATTTACAAACTTATGACAACGAATGCAAAATGCGTGAAGCTGGATGCACTACGAAGAAAAATATCACTATTCTTGTGAATGGGAGATGCGGTTAGTTTGTTCACAGTTAATAATAAGCTAATTTTATTTATACTGGATAGCTTCAGCTGTTCTTTATTTATACTGAATAGCTTCAGCTGTTCTAAACGGTTCTCCATAGAGGTCAACTCAATATCATCCCCTATTGATCCATTGCGACTGCATGACGAAACTTTAACTAAATGGGTGCCTCCTTACCGATCCAGCATTAAGGTGAATTGAGTCTACCCGTGGAACCCTAATACAAACTGGATTTTCGTGTAGAAACTGCGGGAGGCCGAAAAATTTAATAAACTTGCAACGGTCTGTGCCCCACTGCCCCTGTTATGTTGTGGTTCTTCCTCGTTCGCAGGGCTTCTCGGCTGCCTGTGTTGCGCAGGCAGCCGAGAAGCCCTGGGAACGAGGATGGTTGAGGTTTTGGAGTTTGTCTGTTATTTTGGTCCATTTGTTCACTTGCTTAATTCTTAAATGGAGATGTACAGGAATTATTGTAGAGGAGGTGCAAAATATCTTAGCAAAACATGATTATCAATGTTACATGTACTTTGTATTTCAGGCGACTGCAGCACAGTGCAATGTGGGTATGGGGCCACATGCAAAGTTATCGGTGGTGTAGCGAAATGTGAATGTGACTTCACATGCACAGATAGCAAAAGTCTAGTCTGTGGCTCAGATTTACAAACTTATGACAATGAATGCAAAATGCGTGAGGCTGGATGCAAAGCAAAGAGAAGTATCATTGTTCTTGTGAATGGAAAATGCGGTTAGTTTGTTGGCAGTTATAATAGTAGATTTATTTACCATGATTTATACTGCCGGCTCTATCTGCAGTGATAAACAGTTCCTTATTGATCGAGTGGGACCATAGCAGGATACTATATTTAAATAGGTGACCCCTTGCTCGTTCAGCAAAGGTGTCGGATGCAGTCTCCCAGTGATATTAAGGTTTCGGACTTACTGTACTCTAAGAACGTACGTTTCAGACAAATTTTGATCTTCTGTCCATCGTTTGACATTCTCAAAGGGAGTTGCATGAATTATTCTAGGGTAGGGGCATAAATCCTAACTAAAATATCATCTTGAATGGTGCATTTATTTTTACTCTTTATCTTTCAGGGAACTGCAGCACAGTGCAATGTGGGTATGGGGCCACATGCAAAGTTATCGCTGGTGTAGCGAAATGTGAATGTGACTTCACATGCACAGATAGCAAAAGTCTTGTCTGCGGCTCAGATTTACAAACTTATGACAATGAATGCAAAATGCGTGAAGCTGGATGCAAAGCAAAGAGAAAAATCATTGTTCTTGTGAATGGAAAATGCGGTTAGTTTGTTGGCAGTTAATAGTAGAATTATTTAACATTATTTGTACTGGATAGCTTTATCTGTGATAAGCAGTTGTCCTTGGACATCCAGTCACCATCGTTTATTATTAATCGAGCGGGACCATAACTGGAGACATAAATGGATGACACCTTGCTTGTTCAACAACCGTCTGGGCTGCAGTGTCCTTGCATGTGATGTTACGGTTTCGGAGATACCGGGTAAAGACCTACCTAAAATGATTATGTTTTGTGATTGGCTTTCAGAAACAAATCAGAAACAAAAATGATCATTGTTCTTGGCTCGTTCTTTAGAAAGGCGATTTCTATAGTTTTATTGTCTTTCATTGTTATAATCAACTAACCACGAGCTCGGATAGTATAGTAAGATGATGACTCGGGTTACTGTACTCTCACAAAGTACGGTTCAGACAAATTTTGATTTTTCGTCCGTCGTTTGACATTCTCAAAGGGAGTTGCAGAATTGTATTAGGGCAGGCGCAAAAATTCTAAGTAAAATATCCTTTTAATTTTGAATGTTGGATTTACTTTTATTCTTTATCTTTCAGGCGACTGCAGCACAGTGCAATGTACGTATGGGGCAACTTGCAAAGTTATCGCTGGAGTAGCGAAGTGTGAATGTGACTTTACATGCACAGATAGCATAAGTCTAGTCTGCGGTTCAGATTTACAGACTTATGACAATGAATGCAAGATGCGTGAAGCTGGATGCACCACGAAGAAAAATATCACTATTCTTGTGAATGGAAAATGCGGTACGTTTGTTCACAGTTAATAATAAGTTAATTTATTTATGCTGGATAGCTTCAACAGTTTTAAACGGATCTCCATAGAGGTCCAGTCAATATCATCTTTATTGATCCATTAGCACTGCATGAGGAAACCTTAATTAAATGGGTGTCCCCTTACTGCTCCAGCATTAGAGTGAATTGAGTCTACCCATGGTAACCCTAATACAAGTCAGGTTTTTGTGTAGATAGTGCGGGAGGTCAAAAAAATTAATAAACTTGCAACAGTCTGAGCCCCACTGTCCCTTTTATGTCGAGGTTTTGGAGTTCTGCTATTCTGATCCATTATTTCAGTTGCTTAATTCTTAAATGGAGGTGTAGGAATTATTGTAAAGGAGGTGAAAAATATCTAATTTGCATGTATTTTCATCTTTCAGGCGACTGCAGCACAGTGCAATGTGGGTATGGGGCCACATGCAAAGTTATCGGTGGTGTAGCGAAATGTGAATGTGACTTCACATGCACAGATAGCAAAAGTCTAGTCTGTGGCTCAGATTTACAAACTTATGACAATGAATGCAAAATGCGTGAGGCTGGATGCAAAGCAAAGAGAAGTATCATTGTCCTTGTGAATGGAAATTGTGAAACAAAAGGTTAGTTTATAAAATAACCTGATTTATACTGGGTTGATCTCGCTGTTATAAACAGTCCAATCAGGGTCATTCTTTTTGATCCAATGGGACTCAGCTCAGATTTACGGAGTTATAGCAATCAGTGCAAAGAAAAAATGTTGAACGAATTTGTAATTTCCAGTATAAATTTTATACATATATTAGACCTAACCAGGCTCTCGTGCAGGAATCAAACCTGTGGCCGTGCGATGCCGGTGCAGCCATAGATATCTTATATACACTAGATAGGGCATCTAATTATTCTGCAATTCAAAAATTGAAGCCGTGACTGCAGACTCGGGATATTTCAATGAAATGAGTAGATTCGTATATGTCTTCTTTTTCTTAAACAGGGAACTTAAACATTAAGTTAAACCTATTCCAAATACATTTTTAAACTACTGTATTCAAGTGATGAAAATTATTGTTGTTTTTTTAAGCATTTATTAGCGAGTGGGAACTACCAACATGGCATCTATTCAAATGGGGCTAAAAGAGATGCGCTATCTATAGTGTATATAAGACATCTATGGGTGCAGCACTCTAACCAATTAAGCTACAGAACACAGTTGTCGAGCTCTAACCGCAAATTCATGCATACTCAGGCCTTAAAATATCTTTTACATGGACGTCTGACAAAATGTCCCATGACATTGATTTTGGGTCGGACATATGTTGGATGACCTTCATTTCAGTTTTGACTCGGAAATAGGTCTGAATGACACTTGACATGGTCTTTTATTTTAGTGGTACTTGCCGGAAAAAATTTTAAACTTTTTTTTAAATGTCTGGAAAATTTTTTTGGAAATGTCCGCAAAAATAGGGGTCCCGAATTAAATATTTGCCCCTGGCCCCTGAATTTCTCTGTAAGGCCCTAATCACCTACATAAGAAGACATGAAATGAATTTGTGCTCTTTATCTTTCAGGCGACTGCAGCAGATTGAATTGTAAATATGGAGCTACATGCCAGGTTATAAAAGACTTAGCACAATGTGAATGTAACTTCACATGTCTTGATAGCAGAAGTCCAGTCTGTGGTTCCGACGGAAGAACGTATAAAAATATATGCGACTTACAGAAGAAACAATGTACTGAGAAGAAATATATCAATGTTATTAAAAATGAGGCATGCGGTGAGTTGGTTGTTCACCAAGGCCTGATTAAGATTTCGTTAGCACGAGAATGGACGCGTATTTGGAACCATACACAGATTTTCCGGTTGTATTTGCTCACATAGGAATGTGTATGGTTAACTGTGCTGCAATACGTTCACAATGCTCAAAGGCTAAATGTACTGTACTGTACCCTACCGTGCTGCACCGTATCAGAGCCGTAGCCAGGATTTCTGGTCAGGGGCGGGGGCAGCAAAAACCTTCGTGGGGCCAGGGTTCACTTATTTTTGTAGAATGATTTTTCTCAGGCGGGGGCAAAATTTTACCAGAGAGGGGTCCCCCCCCCGGCCCCCGCCCTGGCTTCGCTTTTGCACAGTATTGTATCTCACTGTACTCTGCTGTGCTGTGCTGTTATGTGCTGTGCTGTGCTACATTGCACTGCGCTGTGCTCTGTTCTACTTTACTCTGCAGTGCTGTACAGCATTTCATCCCAGTAAAAAACTTTTTCTTTGCATTTTAAACCTATATGCTATTTCGTCATTGAATAGGCTGTGATGATCTCAATTTGAGTTCCGAAGATTTCAAAAACACAAGCGAAATGGCATGTCAAAACATCGCAAACTCCGTGAAATGTGAAGTAAGATGCCAGGTTGGATACAATGCAGTGTTTCCGAATTTCCTAAAGTTGCAATGTTATGACAACAAATGGATACGCAAAAACAATATTGAAAAATATGTCAGACTTCCAAACGAAAATGCTCCTCCAAGATGCTATAGTAAGTTAACTGAGACTTTCTAGCTGACGAATTATAATCTTGATTTCAGTCGCATATGTGTAAAAAATTACCAAATTTTCATCCAATAAATTCCTGGGATAACCAGTACGTCCAGTTTCCTATTATAATAATGCTGGATCAATAAGTTACAGCAGGGAAATTACTGGCCCCCAGGGGAGAGCAATTTGGAACAGATAGAGCTTTCTAGTATAAATAAATTTAGTTTAGTTTAGTTTAGCTTAGTAATCACGTTACGGGAACCATAGAGTATTTCAATAAAATACAAAACAACGGTAACTTTCTACCAAGTTTTAGTCATCATACTAAATCACGATGCGTAAAACTTGATCCAGAGCTAGACAATATTAAAATGTCCATTTTCGGATGCATTAACGTGTCGGGATCAATTAGCCATTCCGAAGTTGATGAGAGGACTGGGGACGAGTGTTAAAAAGTGCCCAAATTAAGAAATGAACCAAATGACATCGCAAATATCTGGGGGGTGCTGCTGCTTGCTTTGGCCGGGGCCTGGTGGCAGCGCCCGGAAAGGCCAAGGAAAAAGTTTAACAAAATTTGTTTTGAAGGCCAGCATGGCGAGATCTGAGACCATAATATTGGTAATTTTACAAATTTAGTAGTAACAATAATCAAATATGAAACTATCAAATCAAAATATGTATAATTATCGGATATGTAAAAACTTTTGGGGCGGTGCCAAATGCTTGCCTGAAATGGCTAAAAAAAGTACCACCTCAAAATTAGTAAGCTTTCGAAAATTGTGAAATTACTGATTAAAAGATTGTTTTTGGGACGCGCGTCCCTAAAACAAAAATTACAATACATGTCATAGTAAATGTCACAATTTTCGAAAGCTTATTATTCGAAGGGTATTTATGTAAACGTCGTCAAGCTTTGTATACTTACTAATTGTGAGGTGGTCTCTTCAGTGATTTGGTTCATTTCTTAATTTAGGCACTTTTTAACGCTCGTACCCAGTCCACTCATCAACTTCGGAATGGCTAATAAGAGAGGGATAAATGAAGTTAGTTTAGTTTAGAACTCAAATTAACGTTCGCTACTGTGCTTTCTATTCTGTCACTATTAATTTATTTAAACTAGAACCAACGCCAAAGAGTGTTTCAGCTCCATACTGTCGAAGCGGTTCTGTGTTGATGGATAGAGACATATGTGGTAAATGTTTATTGAACAATTTCGATTGGGGGTTGCAACTTTACGAAAGCATGCAGTAAAACAATGATGACATGCCCAGTTATCGTTGTTTAGTTTACGGAAGTACGGAATAAAATTCATGTAATTAAGCATTATATATGTAACTATATTTCTAATTCATAACCAAATCGTAGTGTGTTCTGACTTCGATTTAAACTTGATCAGCGAAATCTTTCTTTGGAAGAAAACTGGATTAGCTGGATGGGGGGGGGGGGGTGAAAACTGTTTACAAAACAATAACAACCAAAAGTGACAACGAATTTTTTAAAGAATTCGTATGTCTGCTTCTGTAATAGTTCTAAACAAAACAGTATTTACACGGTTTAAATCAAAACCTTTAGTAATTCTATTCGTTAGAAATAACTATAAAGAATAGCTTCTATAAATAAATGGTGGTGATAACCAAATCTTATTTTTATTGTTTAGTACCATGCCCTCCTGGTAGTTATTACAACAAAGATGGAGCAGTATGTGCACCGTGTGCGGTGACAATGTACCAAGGGGAGTCTGGAAAAACAGATTGCAAGAAATGTCTGTCACCAAAGACCTCCACGATTACAGGAGCTGAGGGCTGCTACTTTGATCATAGTATGTCAATATTATATGTGGTTAGGGTTTAATTACAATAGCGAATGTCGTAAACAAAACCAAGACCAGATTTTGGTAGAAATAGTGGAAGAGGTGGAAGCAATTTAGGGTAGGTCCCCATTGGAAACTGGGGCTTAGAACATACCCACCCCCTCCCTAACGTCAACTATGTGACTAATTATGTATCTACTGTACATATATCTTTCAGTGTATTTATGAATTATGACCGTACGACCCATTTGCTTTTGCCTTGCATTGCATGACTACAGCCTATACGTTTCTTGTGAAATATTGCATTAAAAGGGTACTTGCTCTGAGCAACAGGTCGGTAAAAATTTGTCAAATTTTTACTTAGATATATCATTTAACCATTCAGCTGACGGGAAGATGCATAACGTTTCAGAGCAAACAATCTCAGGGGAGGTGCAAAATCATCTTCGGGGAGGAGGTCCATACCTTCTCACACCTCCCCAAAAAACCCGCCATGAATAAAAAACATGAAGAATAACCAAATTCAGAGATAATAACAATGATACATTCTATGTCTGGTTGTGGTGTAGAACTTAGGTCAAATTTTGCTAATGTTACTCTGAGTGTTTCCGCGCCAGGAAAGCTGAAAAATTGCTTGTCCGCGGTAGAAAGTGAGCCCAGTGTGGAGGCGCTCAGAATAACATCACCTACATCAGCAAAAATAATTCCCGCATTTTGTTTACTGTTTATTTCTATAGGCTCGAATGATGTCAAAATGGTGTTTGAGAAAAAACGATCTGAAGTGAGTAGAAAAACTAATAAACAATTATTGAATGAGGGTGAGCATGCATAATATCAAGAATTATTCAAATATTTGGTAAAACAGTTTAGAACTGATTGAACTGTGCAGTATATATATATATATATATATATATATATATATATATATATATATATATATATATATATATATATATATATATATATATATATAATATATATATATATATATATATATATATATTCAGTCAAGGTTTGAATGTTTGCGTCGCTACTCTGAGTTTCACGCTTTACGCGATCATCAGGCAACTGACAGATATTATTCAATATTCATAATAAATATAGGTTATCATTTTACAACTTGATTAAGCAGGTATCTGGTTACATGTCTACATTTGGAAAACAAGTCAGAGCGTTTGTTCAGGCATTCAGTTTTCTTCGCTTTCATAATAAGTAGTTTCTCCTCGAGGCATAAATTACACCGTTTAGATCCTGGTTTGTATGCTTTATTGTATACTGACTTTTTTCTGACTTCAGTTTCCAGACGTACTTGGACAGTTCGGTGTTGCTCTTGTATTCCTCATGTCGGAAAGACTTAGTGTGATTGCGGTATCTTGTTTTGAAATCGCCCGCCGTCATGCCAATGTATATTTTCTTTTTCCTGGTTGTTGGCAGTGCTGGTTGTCACTTCGGCTTTGTATACGCTGCTCTCAGTAAGACATTTTTTACCAAGTGGACAGTTGGCGAGTTTTTGGCAGTTGCACATTGGCGTGTCGTTTTTTGTAGGTGTTGGTATTACCGTTGGTATGGATGATTGTATTACCCTAGCAGTTGGCGTTCGTTTTGTGTTTCGGTTGAGTATTTTACGATTATGTTTACGGATGAGATTTTTCATGTTTGTCATACAACTGTAACTAACATGGACTGTGTGGCGGTTGAAAAGTTTGTGCAGTTTGTTTGAGGGAGGAAAATGCTTGTCAATTAGGTTTAGGAATGTCTGTGCTACATTGGTCTTAACGTTCTTGCTATAAGGGGGGTTGTACCATGTAATGTTTCGTTGTCTGTTTCGTTTATCGGAGTTATTAGTGTTGTTTTGAGTTTGTGTGTACGTTAGGTTAACGTCAAAGTTGCTTTGCCTGAGAGCGTTGTTGTAAAGTGGTGCTGCTGCGTTGAATGCTTCTTCGTCACATGATAGTTTGTTAATGCGTTTGTTGACTGAGTGTGGAAGTTGTCGTGTGATGGAAGGTGGATGGTTTGATAATCTGTTTATGTACAGTGGTTCGTCATTAGGTTTCCGGTATGGTTTATATTTACCGTTTGATAGGTCAAGCGTCAGGTCAAGGAAGTTCACGCACTTGATGTTTGTCTGGGCGGTGATTCTGAGGCCAAAGCTCTCAAAAATGGTGATCAACTCTTTCCTCGCCTTGTCCGTAAGTCTGCCTGATGTTGTTCTGAGGGCAGCCAAGCCGTCGTCACGGTATAGGCCTACGTCTTTCCCAAAGCGTTTCTCGAGTGTTGTCAGAATGAAAAGTCCGACGAGTTCACAGACCTCAGCGCCATCGAAACTTCCCATGGTCACGTCAAACGTGGTGGTGTTGTTCTTCGTCGTCCAAGCTTGTTGCATTCAACGCAGCAGCACCACTTTACAACAACGCTCTCAAGCAAAGCAACTTTGACGTTAACCTAACGTACACACAAACTCAAAACAACACCAATAACTCCGATAAACGAAGCAGACAACGAAACATTACATGGTACAACCCTCCTTATAGCAAGAACGTTAAGACCAATGTAACACAGACATTCCTAAACCTAATTGACAAGCATTTTCCTCCCTCAAACAAACTGCACAAACTTTTTTTCAACCGCCACACAGTCCGTGTTAGTTACAGTTGCATGACAAACATGAAAAATCTCATTCGCAAACATAATCGTAAAATACTCAACCGAAACACAAAACGAACGCCAACTGCTAGGGTAATACAATCATCCATACCAACGGTAATACCAACACCTACAAAAAACGACGCGCCAATGTGCAACTGCCAAAAACCCGCCAACTGTCCACTTGGTAAAAAATGTCTTCCTGAGAGCATCGTATACAAAGCCGAAGTAACAACCAGCACTGCCAACAACCAGGAAAAGAAAATATACATTGGCATGACGGCGGGCGATTTCAAAACAAGATACCGCAATCACACTAAGTCTTTCCGACATGAGGAATACAAGAGCAACACCGAACTGTCGAAGTACGTCTGGAAACTGAAGTCAGAAAAAAGTCAGTATACAATGAAGTGGTCCATTATGAAGAAAGTCAAAGCATACAAACCAGGATCTAAACGGTGTAATTTATGCCTCGAGGAGAAACTACTTATTATGAAAGCGAAGAAAACTGAATGCCTGAACAAACGCTCTGACTTGTTTTCCAAATGTAGACATGTAACCAGATACCTGCTTAATCAAGTTGTAAAATGATAACCTATATTTATTATGAATATTGAATAATATCTGTCAGTTGCCTGATGATCGCATAAAGCATGAAACTCAGAGTAGCGACGCAAACATTCAAACCTTGACTGAATTATATATTATATATATTATATATATATATATATATATATATATATATATATATATATATATATATATATATATATATATATATATATATATATATATATATATATCTTTCACATAAAACTTTTTCCTGAATAGTTTTAACTTTTTTTGACCTGTACCGTTAGGATGAGGGCAAGGATTAGGGTTATTGTGCTATAAAGTTAATCAATAATTTATTCCAAGATCATTTATTCCTTTTTTAAATAACGTCGCTCGGGCGATGTTATTTAATTTTTATCTTATCTTATCTTATCTTATCTGGAAACCGCTGACATGATGCGATTGGACAATGGATCGGACGGAGGATGGAGATCGCAAAACCATGGACACTGTGGCCATAGCTATACAAAGAACGCCTGTGTTTAAATTGATTACTTGCATAAAGGACCACTGGATTTAACCCATTTGCAGCGTTTCTACTTGGAAGGAAATTTCCTTCCAGAAGCATATTTTGGTGGCTGGAATGAAGTTTGGAAGGAAATAGCATTTGGAAGAAAATCAGAAGGAATTTTGTTTTCAAGAAAAAATGACTCAAAATAACATTTTTCGCCAAGAAAATTGAGAAATAAGTCGATTTTCGGGAAAGTTTATATAATTGTGCTATAGAAAATGGCAAAAATTCTATTAAATTTATGAAAAAGTCCAAAATGTTCTAGGGAAGGACTCTCAGACCTCCCTTTTCATCCCTGAAGCTTTTGTTTCTTAATTAACTAAGACGATCAAGAAAATTTTAGCTGAAAAGGATTGTTACAGGTGGGTTAAATCCTGAGTATATCCAAATATAGTTACTAATAAAATATGATAATGGGTTTCAGTGCTACATAAACGTATCAATTTTGATAGTTTGCAGCAGTAAAAATGTATCAAGTTTACAGGGAAGGAAATTTTGTGGGAAAAAAAATTTGAAGTGTTGGCTATGGTGTTGGGACGAAAATTATTTTTTCAGAGTGGAAACACCTGCGGCCATTTTAGCCATATGATTATAGCTCAGTGGTCATGTCCAGTGGTCATGTCACATGTGATATCAACTCAAAGTCTCAAATGACAAATGTATCAACCTCAATTCGTGAATGGCGATAAGGCGATTTTAGTTGTTGTTCTGTTTCACAAATTAAATGCGGAATAAGTGTGTGAAATTAGCACGCCAGCGCGACAAGTAGGTGCCTTGTATTATTAATTATTATTAGTTATTTACCAATTACAAGCTCATTATTTTGCGGCTCACTAGTATGAGCTTGCAATCACCTTGCCAGTCGCCTTGACTTCGGCGAGTAATTGTTTTAGTATACATTTCCAGGTGAATATTATGATTTTTAATAAGCCGTAAAATTAATTTTGTGTTTATTTGCACTTTTCACTGTTGTATACATCATGGCGTAAACATGAACTTCGAGAGAACTATCATACACAAATGTCCCAATATCTTCGTTCATGTCTTTTATGATAGGTATACCATATGGCTCCATTTTGAAAAATGTTATAGTCACTGGCTGCCCAGTGAGGTCGGCACTTGTTTCCATCTACCAAACTGATGTGACGTCATTTTCTCAGCTTTCAATAAAGTATAAAAGCTTTGAAAATAAACCTAACCCTTAACCTATAAACTCTAACCAAATCAGGGGAAAAATCATCTTTGAAAGGTGGAAACAAGTGGCCCAGTAACTATCACTTGACAGTGTAGCCTGCGTGCAGCAGGACTTTAAATGGGGAGAAGTCAGTCTGCGAATCAGGGAACAATACCGTGTTCGCGCCATCTTTTGAATTGCATGGATTTCTGTATTCAAACGTAATTGGCTATTGCTCAGAAGCTTATTACACATGCTACGATTGGTTAATCATTAATATATTAAGTTCAACAAAATAATATATTTAGCAAAATGGCAACTTAAGAACCCTCAATGAGAAACCTTTCATATCTTTTGTATGGGTTTCGTGCATAAATTACACACAACATTGGTCTTCGTGTTTTTATCCGCCATTTTTTCATTCTGGAATGTTGTTTGAACTATGGTAAATATATTAATGAATTCAATTGGCCAATCGTAGCATGTGTATTAAGCTTCTGAGCACGAGCCAATCACGTTTGAATACAGAAACTATGCAATTCAAAAGATGACACGAACACGGTATTGTTCCCTGATTCGCAGACTGACTTCTCCCCACTTAAAGTCAGGCTGCATGCAGGCTATTGACAGTGGGGCTGCGTTGACTAATCAGATTGCAAGAAATGTTATAGTCACCTCAAAATTTATACTAAAAGTTAATATAAACTCTGCTTCTTACACATATTCTTTCAAGACTTGTTATGAAACTTTGTAAATTAGATTATATAAATTTTAAGAACAAACCATACTATATACTAACCTGATGTATCAGCCAGCATTATTTCCTCATCATATTTTGCTTGTTTGTTCTCTATAAGTACGGGCATAAAGGATTTATACGTATATGGAATGCTAGATAGCCTAGTTTTGGACAGTTAGTTTTTCATGAACCTTATCCAAACTTCAACCAAAACAGAATTAAAGCAGCATATGAGGTGCCATGTTAGAGTCAGTATCCATGTTGCTCGTCCAAGTTTCAAAACAAGTAATGTTGGACACATGTTGGTGTATGCATGTGTGTTGCTTTACAAGTTTTTATTATATAATTATCTTTCGCTTACTAGTCTGGTTTTTATTGCAATGAAGTCAACTTAGCCTAGTCAAATTGCATTCACAACCCATTGCTTTGGCACTCCAGTAACTACTGTAGTGTCTTCATTACTGTACATACTCAAATCCAGTTTTCATTGTTAGTATATATACATGATAAATTATTAAAAATCACTAAAAAATCCATTAGTGGACTTTTAAATTCTTATCTATCACATATAAAATATTCAGAATTCCATTGTTTTTACTGTTGTGTTTGCCCCAGTATAGACAAGATGGAGTCACAAACAGCAAAAAGGTGTATACAAGGATTAGTTTTAGGCTAATCTCTCCTTGCCTGTGGCAAACAACATAGATTGGACATTTGTCTTCTGATAATAGCTGACAAATTTTGACAGCTAATGCTACTTCCTTTGAAGGGAAGGGTAGTCTGGTCAATGTCACAATATATATGACCACTTTATGTAGCTGAAAACCTTCATTCCTTAAACTTTTATGGCTTAAATTTCATGTACAATATATAGGTTAATTTATAGCACGCCATTGTTTCCAAGGCTAAAAAAATATTATCATAGCTTTTTTACACACTTATTTGGCTATCATTTAGTTTAAAAACTTTTAGAAATTATTGGGGGCTTGCCCCCCCCCCCCCCCTCATACCCTGTCACTTTAGTGTCTGCAACAGCCCACTGCTCAAAAGTAGTAATTACCTCTATCTTGACATTTACAGCATTTTACTGACTGTCCGTATCCTTCTTCCCCAATGCCAACCCCACAAAAAACATGGACTGCACGATGACATGTTATGCATTTATGTGCCCCAGACACCTCGCCAAAGCAAACATGGCAGTTGCCATCTGTTAAAAATAAAATTATGCATTGACTCTGTGAAATACAGTACATCATAGAGACATTAAATCCAAATCACTGCAAGGAATAATGTATTTATTTAATACAGTGCTACTCAGCATTACCTCTAATTTTAGATTACTACGTAGGCAAATTTATAATCTCTGCAAAATGAAGGTTTGAAATTTTACCGTACCTGTAACCTGGTTATCTGGTTCACCATGCCCAGCCACAAGTGAGGGGATGGCTAAATCATCCTTACTTTTTGCTATAAATTAAAGTGAATCAACGTTATACAATGTGGTTGTTACTATAGGGCCAGTTGTATAAAGCTCTTAATTACCTTTTAACTATCCGTTTCATAGTTAAATGGTAATTAACTCTAAAATATGTGATCAGTCCGCGTGATTCGTTGACTTATATAGTCACTACAAAACAAGCTTGAACGGATGGCATTTTGCAATTACCGGTATTAATTGCAAGGCCTAGTTAGTGTACTTTTTAACTACATGTGATTCATTGCTTTTAGGTAAAGGTTTTGTTTGATAATCTTACAGTAACTATATCTTTCAGGTTTATGATAAAGAAAAGCGCAAGCGTGGCTGAGTAATTTGCATATTTGGCATACCTAATGACTGGTGATCTGATTGGTCTTCCATAGTCACATCTCGGATGTCTTGATCGTGCTTTTCTTTTTCTACGAAGTGGAATTAGCGTGGTAAGATGATGTGAAAAATGTTTCAAGTCGTGCATTTCATTGTCTGCTAACATAATTGACCGATCACACATGCCACAATGTGAAATTGGCGATTACGAATGGACAATTGCAGCTATAGACTAAATTTTGATCTAGGCAAGAAGAACGAAATCCATCACTACAGCTAGAAAGAGCAGCTTAAAATTAGTAAATTTGCAAACTTTGGTCGCGAAATGTTGTAAAGTGAGGAAAATATAGCCCTGTAAATTTAACGAATTTTGTATATTACTTTTGTATTACGTGCAGAAATTTGCACCACTTTTGAGCCGAAAGTGGTGCAAATTTCTGCATATATATTACAAAAGTATACAAAATTTGCGAAATTTGCTGGCCTATATTTTGCTCATGTTACAACACTTCGCGACCAAACTTTGCAATTTGACTAATTTTAAGCTGCTCTTTCTAGCTGTTGTGATGGATTTCGTTCTTCCAGTCTGGATCAAAATTTAGTCTATATAGCTGGAATCATCCATTTTACCGTACCTGTAACCTGGTTATCTTTCTCACCATGCCCAGCCACAGGTGAGGTGATGGCTAAATCATCTTTACTTTTTGCTATGAATTAAAGTGAATCAACGTTATACAATGTGGTTGTTACTATAGGGCCAGTTGTATGAAGCTCTCAATTACCTTTTAACTATCCGTTTCGTAGTTAAATGGTAATTAACTCTAAAATACGCGATCAGTCCGCGTGATTCGTTGACTTACAGTATATAGTCACTACAAAACAATCTTGAAATTGCCGATATTAATTGCAAGGCCTGGTTAGTGTACTTTTTAACTACATGTTACTCATTGCTTTTAGGTAAAGGTTTTGTTTGATAATCCTACAGTAACTATATCTTTCAGGTTTACGATAAAGAAAAGCGCAGGCGTGGCTGAGTAATTTGCATATTTGGCATACCTAAGCACTGGTGATCTGATTGGTCTTCCATAGTCTCATCTCGGATGTCTTGATCGTGCTTTTCTTTTTCTACAAAGTGGAATTAGCGTGGTAAGGTGATGTGAAAAATGTTTCAAGTCGTGCATTTCATTGCCTGCTACATAATTGACCGATCACACATGCCACAATGAGAAATTGGCCATTACGAATTGTACCGAGTCACAATCGCGGTCAAAATAATGTCATAATCATTCGAATGACCTTATTCATTTTGCACATAACTAATTTTTTTCTAAAGGTAAAATAAATTTCAACCATCTAAAGTAAACATTTCGTAGCTTTGCAAAAGCTACGTCAATGTGCTTCAGCTGTGCAAGTCGACAGCCTTTATCAGGAATTCTTTGATTTCCAAAATAATCGATTAAATACAATGGGGGGGGGGGCATAGTCGAGAAACATTCGCCAACCCCAATCGTCTACCAATTACACAATCGGTCCGTTTCCTTATCCATTGTAATAATCTGTGAATAATTGCACGCGAAGTCAACATTGTAAAACTAAATACTTTTCAATCCTATCATAACCGAATAATCAACATCTGGATTCTGGAATACCGTATGCAAAGACGTCTGGTTTTTGCTAACACTAATACCGTATCTCTTTCAAACGTCTACCAAAGCGTATGTTTAGATACTTTATACTAGCATATTTGATTCTACTTAGAAGTTAAAATGGCATGTACTGTACGTGACCATTGGTCCGTCCATACGTCTAATTCGATTCCTGTTCGTTCCTCGTACATTTGGAGTCCAAATTTTTGTCAGTTTACATTTTAAAGGCATTTCTAATGGATTGTTTTCTTTATATAGTGCACTGCAACCTTTGGTAAATCAAATTTAAATCACCGATATAAAGAAAACGGTGATGATAGCAAGTAACTGGCAAATTTGGCGTACCTGTAACTTCAGCTGATTTGATTTCACTGTTCTGGTTTCCTTTCTCTACAAAAGGGAATTGGCATACAAAAGTCAGGTGATGTTAAAATTCATCGTTGGTCAGGCCACGGAATTAGAAAAAAATAACAGTCATGAAATTAAAGCAGGCTGGCAACTGACAAATTTACAGTATAGCGTATATGATAGTCTGTGAAAATGAATTTCTGGTGAATTAATAAATATGAATGGATTGTACCATACATTTAGCCTAATTGCATCCAATGTATGTCTGCAACGTGGTATAAAGCCTTCAACTTCCTCTTATTTACCCGTTTTGCAATTAAATGGTACGCGATTCTGCGTGATTCGTTCACTTATATACTCACTACAAAACAAACTTGAACTGATGGCATTTTACAATTGGCCCCAGATGGCATTCGGAGAAAAAAAAGTTGGAGCCAGTTATAGCCAGTGATATGTTGTCAATTTGGAATCTACCGTACCTATAACCAGGATATCTGGTTGACCATCCCCAGCCACAGCTGAGGTGCTGACTACATCATCATTGCGTTTTGCTACAAATTAAAGTGAATCCTTAATCTGAAATCATTAATAATTCATAGGCTAAAAACAAAGGAAATCACTAGGATGGTGGTAACTGGAAATGTATCTTAATTAGCATAAAATATCGCCAACTTTGGCTCAAATTTGTATAGGAAATTACACGGTTCGAGAAGTATTAATAAAAAAATGCACGCGTGTTTGGCGAAATATCGTATGTGTTATGTCTATGTAATGTTTATAACATGAGCGGCCGTGTTGTATCATATACAAACTCGAGCCGAAGGCGAGAGTTTGTATATCTGATACAACACGGACGCGAATGTTGTAAGCAACTTAAAAAACGACTCATCTTATGAGTTCATTGGCGAAGTAATTTTAAAAATAAACGTTGTCTAAGCCGAGAAAATCAAAGTTAAAGTTTATGTAAATCAACATGAATCTGTATCACATATACAGATACGACACGCTTATGATTTTTCTTTGTGTTTTCTTCATGAATTATTAATGGATTTTTTAAGTACTATTTAAAAAACGAGCAGGAGTGTTTTATTAGGTTTAAAGCCACGAGCGTGCAGCGCGAGTGGCTTTAGACCTAATAAAACACGACCTGCGAGTTTTTTAAATGACTTCAATAACGTATGCATAATAAGTCAAATCTTTATATAAAAATCTTTATATAAAAACCTTTATATAGTTTGCATAACAATGGTCTTTTGTTAAAGTGTTCTTTAGCTGGTATCAAGACGTATGCACGTGACTAATTTCTTACTCAAGATTGGATAATTGCTTCATGAATTATTAATGAGTTTTTGAAGTATGGTTAAAGTGCCCATGAAAATAATTCTGTATGATAGTGGCGTAGGTGAAATTTCCAAATGGCGCATACCTGTATCACGTAATTTACGTTTGTCTGGGAAAAGACTTCGTATTTTCTCTAAAAAAGCGAATAGATTGTTCAGCATCAAGAAAACAACTTTGCTGTTACAGTTTTTTATATTGAGTGCTCGAAATAGAGAAGAAATGTGGCTTGCTAGTTTATTTTTTTGCATCTGAATTGACATAAATTTTAACCTAGCGAGGTCTCATATATTGTAGAAATGAACGTTTTCATGCATTTTTATTATTTTATCACCCTACTATAAAGTGAAATATATCTGTAGAATTTCGCCTACCATTTTGTTTTACTTGAAAGTTCAATTTTTTCATCATTTCTGAAATATCGCCTGCTTTTGGCCATTGGCAGCCCGCTTGCGTGGTCTTGAAATATATTTTTCATTGTTATTATTTGGTAATGTATATACGTACGTGCATATATTTCCTTTTTCAGATTGGAAAAATATGTCTTGCTCCTGTGGGTCTTGGCAATATCTGGAAAAAACGCGAATACGCCTTAATAAATGCGCTTTATAATTAAAAACGCCATTCTCATACAGACTTATGTTGAAGGTTTACATAAAAAGTACGAATACCGGTATATATATATATATATATATGTAGGTACTCTGTAGCTCAGTTGGTTAGAGCGCTACACCGGAATCACAGGGCAGTTCATGACAGAGGACCTAGGTTAGGTCTCTATAATTGTGTATATACACTGTACAATGTAATGTATGTATATGCTCACTTGGATTATCCACCTATACCTCTTGCAGGGATATGGAACTTGCGGCCCTGCGTTCCTGGTTTTACGTTTTTAACTAACTGAGCTATATAGAATCCAGTTGGCGAGCATGAAAGCCGCGGCTACACGGGCGATTTTTTCCTCGCGATTTTTTAAAATCGTCAACAAATTTCGAAAATCTTTCGTGTAGCTAGCCACCCAAATAACGCGCGATCCGACAGTCAGGAAAAATCGTCAAAGTTGATCGCGATAATTTCAATTAGTTGAATATTTTTCGACGTGTCTACAAATTATCTCTCGTGTAGTTACCTCAAATGAAAAACACGACACGACGAACCGTTACTGATCTAGCCAATGAGATGCGAGAGTGAAATTGAGGCTCGGCATTTGCCAGTGTCATCAAAATATTTGTCTCGCTTGTAGCCACCACAGTTTGTTGACGATTTTAAAAAATCGCGAGGAAAATATCGCCCGTGTAGCCGCGGCTTAATACATATGTTGCCAGTGTGACAAAATATATTGATAAATATGATAGAATAAAGTTCTATCAAGTGTGATGCCCACAACCATGTTTTTACGCAAAAATGACTTGTATATAGGTGTTGGTCTCCACTAGTTGTGTCTATATATCTCAAAGAAAACCAATGACTTGAATTTATGTGTGTTTTTTGTGTTTGTTGTTGTTTTTTGTGGCGCGGGGTTATAAATTTTGCAAGATGGATGTTTGGAAGCCCATAATCCCAGTGATGTCTCTGGACATTAGCATCTGAAACCCGTCTTTCCGCGGTTTGTGGTAATAATGACGCAACGACGTAATCTTGCGGAGAGCCTTGCGAAATGAGTGCGGATGGGTTAATATTTGAGTTATGGGTAAGGGCTAGGGTAGTAGTATGATAGTAAAGTACACTCAAATTTTGCATTGGTATAGCCAGGACAAAATATCACGAGCGGAGTTCGTCTCATAGTTGACTTGTGTAGCATTTTTTGTAGCAAAATTTTTGTCGCCGTAGCATTTAGCTGCTTTTAAATGGTGAGGTAAGACTGCAAATTTGAGTCAATTCTCACATTACTGTTCTCGATTTTAATCCTTAAAATTTTAAAATTAAATTTTAACTGAATTATGTACCTAAAAAAGTCGCTTTGCACGAAGAGGTTCCCTGAGATAATTTTTGCTACGTTACTTTCCGTTCGTTACTTTTTTTCATTCGCATTACTGAACAAAGCAAACAACTGACTTACCACTTGCTTGACCTGACGGTGCTCCATCAATTTCACTGGTGGTGACATGATCACCTTTGACACCTTTAAAATTTTTTTTAAAAAATTAAAGTATACATACGTGACAGGTATAAAAGTATAATATTATTCTAAATTTGAAAGCTCTACCAGTTCTGAACTGATTTGGATAACAATGTCAGATTTGCGTTGCAAGCAACCTCGCAAGCCATGCTCTTCTTAAAACCATTGCGACTGGGGATCGACTGCAATTGGCCTTTAAAAATTGAGCAATTTAGTTGTGAGTGAATTTTAGATCTTTTACATAAAAGTTTGGAAACTGCAAAAATCGTTGATGAGAAAAGATTGGTGCTATTCAGGCCCCACTCTGTCACCCCTCATCCCCTTTCCCGTCGCCAACTTTGATGGGGGTAAAATTGTAGTCTGGCGATTTGTCGAAATTGTAATCTCCTAATTTTCCTGTTGGCCTATTTTATAAACCCATTGTAAACTCTAAACTATTTCTCAAATACACTGTGTGCGTGGTGTGGACTCCACAAAACTGTAGCGCAAAAGCAGTATTATCAGCGCACATGTTGCGACATTTTTGGTGGCTCACTAAAATATCAGGACAAAAAACGTAACAATCATAATTAATTAGTTATTTTACCGATGTTTTTTGTTGTGCTGGCGTCATGCGTGCGTGGTCGAAACCACAGAATTATGAGGATGAAAAACTCGAAACTTTGAGGTAAAGAGCAATCCAATTTACTAGTTAGGTTTTAATTATCAAATGTAAAGGCTTTATGACGGTGTGTGACGGTACAGTGTATTTGTAGGTTGTATTTATAATATAAAAAACGTGATTTGTATTGAAAAGCTTCACTGCAGGAAGCCAGGCACGTGGCATAAGTACTTTGGATTTTAGATAGACCGAACTGAGACTTTCATAGTTTCATGTCATGGTAAAGCAACAACTTACATATCCAGTATAATTTAAACCTTTAGATTCAAATACAATTTATAAATTACTTTTCAAACACAGTTTTAATTTAATAATAGGGTTTTTCAGACCGAAATGTGAGAAGACATACATTTGGTTTGGTTACACCGGGCAGCCTATTCGAGCTTTGTATAAAATATATTGTATATACATGCATGGGAAACAGATCCAACGTTGGCACAACAATACATAAATACCAAAGCTCAGCCATTAACTATAAGTCTACTGGTCATTTCTAGTTGGGAAGCCATCATACTGTGAATCTTTTGGAAACAAGCCTTATATTTTGAAAATTCTGAAGGGCAGGCTGTCCCTGTATTAAATGCCCTGATGAAATTATTCCATATCTCTGTGGAAGATGGTCCACTTAGCAATTTACATTTTGGATGCAAATGACAATGAAGATTTAGAATATTTCGCATTTGTACATTGTATTTATTCATGTATGTGGCATGCTATGGCTATTTTAGCCCATTAGGCTGCAATATGTGCCCAAGCATTAGTGATGGGCGATACCACTAGTATCTGATTCAATACCGATTACTTTTTGGTTAAAGTATCGAGGTATCGATTACCCAAACGATTACTACGACGACGATTGTTTTCAGAATTTTCCACAATTATAATCCATGAAAAAACAAAAATTAATTTATTTCCCGCCTTTTTCAAAATTTATTCTGTCGACGAGGTTAGGAATATTAATCAGGGAAGTGGACAGAATGTCAAATAAAGTAAAGGAAGTTTGGTTAAGTTGATAAATGCAACAAAATACAAAAAAGTACATATATTTTATTAGAAATAGCCATGAAAACGATGACACAACCACAGAATTATAATAAATGTCTAATTTTAAAAGTAATCGAAACACTTTTTCGATACTGTGCAGTATCGACTACTTCCGATTTGGGCCTGGTATCGGGTGGTATCGATACCAAGTAATCGGTAATCGCCCATCACTACGGGGCAAGCATGGTATTTTACTCAGCATAATGCCAGAGGATTCTACTTGTCAAGGGAAGAGTCTTGTGCACTTACATTGTAGGTGAAATGATACAATTCCCCCACCCCCAGCGAAAAATAATCCTAGATTGTTTGTCAGAATCAACGATTGTGTATAATGTGCAGAAGTCGGACAGAAGAAAGAAGGCTATTCTATACTTCATAATTTATTGTTTTACTCTGTGTAATGCCATACAACTTTGCAGGAGGCAAGGGAGAGTGCTGCTTCAAATATATGAGGCATGCATCTTTGTTAATATAGTGGTTTTAGTGCAAATATACAACTTTGACAATGAATACAATTTTGATAACCACTGTTTTACTTTCCTAGACTTGAGGTTGTACCAAATTCAGATTGCTTGTGAACTGATTAAGTTTGAGGTAAGTATGTATGGCATACTTGCATGCAAGTTTGAGCTTTTGGTGTTTAGGGTACAAGTTTTGGTTATAAATTATTCTGGCTTGCTGGTCAGTGCAAACCACATTTCTTGAACATGTTGCTGCCTGAATTTAATATTTAATATTTTGGTCAATTCATTGCAGTCCATTGCTCCATTCCACTAGTTAGATTCTGTTAGTGGTAACACATCTACGCTAGTCTAGTGCAGATTACCTTGAGTCTTACGCCAAGGAAGGTCCTTCACACCATAATCGTAGTGTAACTCCTCACCACAGGTTATATCTTTTTTAGCATAAATTGCTAAGTGTGGTTCGCCGTGCTGTATTTTTTTTATTTTGCAATTTGCCATCTTTTCCTCTGCATCATTAGCAAGCCTTCCAAGGCCTGTTGCAAATGTTGCATCAACACTATATACAATTAAATGAATAATCTTTGAAGTTTAATGAATACTTTCCCACATTTTGCCATGGTGTTTTTATTAATCCCACTTCCTGACCAATATTTTTCTTAAAATCCCAAGTTTGTCCCAATTGAATATTAAGACCGATTTCCACTCAGGATAATAAGCATGGGATCAGACAGGATCGTAACAAACATTTTAGAACCTGCGCATGCCGGCTTTCCGTCGCAGTCTGAACATGTGATCCACAACCCACATGATAAAGAGTTGAACTTTTTGCAACTTTTTTTGGTCCGGTGGTGTGGGTAATACAAGATGGAAAAAAGTCCAATCCGATGCCTATTTACCTGAGTGGAACCCATCCTGCAAAACCAGTACTGAGACCCCTCCTTTTAAAAACGTATGTTTGTTTGTAAGTATAATAGTGTTTCCTTTGACATTATGGCTATGTACTTTTAGTGCCAGTAATACATACCAAAGAGACTTGTTTTCATGTTGAAAAAAGAACAGGAAGCTACCAAGATCATCAGGGTATGTAGCCTCTCTGTTGCAGCCTTCCTGTCCTGATATGAGTTCCCCCTTGTATTCTAAGAGGAACTCTCCTTTTAAAAAGGATCTTTTGGTAAATATGCCCCGACCTAATGAAAAAATTGATTTTTTAAAAATATTGGTTCACTGTACAGTATACCAATTTTTTAATAGCAGACAGTATAGCCAGCAGTTCCAAAAGATTCTTTGCCTCAAAGTGGCAATGTGCCCTTGTGCACTTTATTATTTTACTTTTCTAATAACCATTAAGCTGTCACAATGCACCTTTATTCTTTTACTCAGTGTTGCCCTTCCCATGAGCATCCTGTTTACCATCGATTAAGTTGCAATGCGCCCTATTTTATTATCTTACTCTGCCTAATTCCAGTGGTGTAATTAGAGTAAAATACACCCTTTCGATAATTAAGTCACAACTACACTGTTTTCAACTTTGGACCACCTTAAATGGAAAGGATTTTAAGTTCTTTTTCTCATGGCCTGTGCACAGAGAAGCAGAAGATCCCTCTTCAACACATGTGCAAAAAAATTTTTTTGATTTTGATCAGTAATAATAGACAATTCCCATTATAGACTAATTTTAAAATTACGCAAGGAAACTCAAATAAATCACCACAGCTAGAAAGAGCATACTAAAATTAGTTAAACTAGACGTAACCACAGGTTAAAAAGAGCGACCTGGAGACTTTAGTCACTAATGACAACGTGCCGGCTCATGCTGTTTTGGCCAGATAGTTGGTGATCATCCTTTACTTTTGCCAGAAGTAGGTCGGTCGGGTTTGTTTTATTTTTTATATAACGATTTGCGTCAAATAAACATGCACATGACAAGGTACTTTATTTCATATTGTCTATTAATATATTCAAAATAAAAAACAGTAACAACTTTTCAAGTTTATGCAAAGGAGTGGCGATAATATATGGGCTAATATTGCTTATTATATAATAAAAGTCGGCCCATTTACACTGAATATCCAATTTAGGTAAATTTATCAAAATATTAACTTGACTGATAGACCTTTCCCCTTTTAAGTGAAATTTTGATCTAGACAAGTCTGGACAAAAATTTAATCACAGCTTGAAAGAGCATCAATAATTTTCCGAAGTTTCGTTGCAAAATGTTGTAAAATGCGGATAATATAGCCTTGCGAAGTTTGCCGTTTTTCAGTCATTTGGTATTACAAACGGGAAATTGATAATCAGTGATCAAACTGATTATCAATTTCCCATTTGTAATCAAAATGACTGAAAAACGGAAAACTTCGCAAGGCTATATTATCCGCATTTTACAACATTTCGCAATGAAACTTCGGAATATTACTAATTTGTGATAACTCTTTCAAGCTGTGATGAAATTTTTGTCCAGACTTGTCTAGATCAAAATTTCACTTAAAAGGGGAAAGGTCTATTGGTATCCAATTACGTCACTTGCTACAAATTACATAACAAATAGTTTATACATTTGTGATTATATTGTCGGTACAGCGCAAAGTCGCCTTCTATGAATAGCATGACGTGTCAATAACAGTACCAATTGACAAAGCGCAATTTAAAGATAAATATTAAAGCTCGGCACATGACTTTCAAACAACAGACGTTTCTTTGTATACATCACAACATCCTCATGCACAGCATTTAATCTTTTTGATTATTTAAATCTGTCTTCAATAACAGACTTACAACAGTTAGTAGATGCTAAGTTAAGCTTCATTTGATGTACAATTTGATGAACAAAAGTTAAAGGTACATGTATAAAATTGCATCAGTATCGATGAGTAAATAAAACACTGGATGGCATAACAGCGGCGGAAATACCGTTTCATGCGGTCTTCCAAATATGGAAATATGTTCCAAATATGGAATGCAAGCCGAGGTGAATCGGTAAATCTTGAGCCGGGGCTAATCCGAACTCAGCGGTATATTTAAATTTTCTACGCACAGATTAGGATGCTCCCAGCTCGCTTGCTGGTGCTCGCTCGCTGGTCGCAATTACAAAGTTTGGTTGCGAATTGTTGTAAAATGAGGAAAATATAGCTTTGCAAAGTTTGCACATTTTGTATACTTTTGTATTGCTTGCTGAAATTCCTACCACATTTAGGCCGGAAATGGTTGCACGCAATACAAAAGTATACAAAATGTGCGAACTTTGCAAGGCTATATTTTCCACATTTTACAACATTTCGCAACCAAATTTTGTAATTTTACTAATTTTAGTATGCTCTTTCTAGCTGTGGTGATTTATTTGCATCTCCTTGCCTAGTTTTAAAATTAGTCTATAATGGGAATTGTCTATTACTGGTCAAAATAAAGAATTCGTTTTCATGCATGTGTTGAAGTAGGATGTATTGCTTCTCTGTGCATAGCCCATGAAAAAAAACTTGAAATCCTTTCCATTTAAGGTGGTCCTAAGTTGAAAACAGTGTACAGTACCGGTAGTTGTGACGTAATTATTGAAAGGGTATTTGCTGTAAGCGCGCATTTTTATGGTTGTATGTATGGGTGCATGGTTTAATCAAATTAATACAATATGTACATAGTTGTAAGGAATGAATAAAAAATTTACTTTTTAAAGCAGTATTAAATCATGATATTGTACTCAAATGTGCATATTTTTTTTGTTAAATTTTCAGTTTTATATTTATAATTTGCACCCAGACTAGTACAGTATGTAAGGCCGCATAAAATAAATTCCTTGATTCTCATCACTGCCCGACTGTATTTTAAGAGCCGCGTGAAATTTTTTTATATGTTGTTATACAATATAAATGTACCGCCCGACAAAATATTTCAAGACAGTTAAGTTTTTTATATTTTATATTGGGTTTTTAGTGCCATTTTAAACTGCCAATTTCAAACAAATAGAACCTTGAAAGAAATTTCATTGCATTTTAACGGAACTTCGCATTCAGTTCAAGGGCCCAGTCATTGTTTGTGGAGAAATATGTTTATTTAAGTTTGGGACACTTTTATTTATTGATATATTTTAAATTATATAAATATAAAATATAAACCTCCCGCCTCTTCGACATTTTCAAAGTGTAGTGATGAGAATCAAGGAATTTATTTTATGTGGCCTAATAACAACCATGATATGAAAATAGAACTTAAGTATCTTAATAATATTTTAGACTAATAAACTGGAAACAGAATCTCCGATAATATTTTTTATTTTTTTTTTCTAAGTTAATTAATGTTGTAGTAAATTGCCTTTTATTTATTTATTACCAATATAGTCATTGATATATCTCTCCTCGAGGTCTTCTTGGTCATTGGGAAGAGAAGTCTGTTTTTGTCTCTGAGATCGAAGCAAACATATGGTACATGATTATATAATAATTATCAAGAATTTGAGCAGTATGACAAAGTTTTATAAGCATGGGAGGAACCTTTGCCCAGACTGAGCTAATTTTCTTTGCATATTCCCAGTCTTGAGGGGGGGGGGGGAAATTGACAGGATGTTGCAGTAAACTTGGTTACTGGATGACTCCATTGACTATGATAAATACATAATATACTATGATGATTTAAGGTGATGCAACTTAATGCAACAATGCAACAGGAAGGACTTTAACCTATATACAGCCGTGGAATTCACGATAAATTATTATACCTCAAAATAATATTATACCTCAAAATAAAATGGTCCAATACTCCAATCACAGGGTTAAATTTATAGCATGTGACTATGCGATTCAGTTTAAGTGGAATTATCTCTATCACATCACCAGGGGACCAGGGGGTAATTCCACTTTATATTCCCCTTGAGTTGTCCTTAAAAATTACCCTCTTGCCTAGCCTGCTTAAAATTGAAAGGATTTTAGCCAACAGAGGTTGAACCAAAATTTAATTTTGGTATAATATTAATATATCAGTTATCAACCTTTCACTCTGGGTATTCCACAAAAAATTACCCCTCGGAATGAAATATTTCATCCTTCAGGGTAATTTTTGTGGAATACCCCTTGTTCCGGGTCAGTGACTGATAATAATACCCTGAACTGCTCACTGTGAAATTAAATCACTAAATTCCAACAATCCCGGGAGAATTTGTCTAATCCCCTCCCCCCCAAAAAAAAAAACGGAAAATTTTCTCTGATTTATATCCAAACAAAAAAAGGAGAAAATTTAGTGTTTAAATTTCACTGTGTGGACAATGGAAATCAAAGAACTAGTGCCATGATATATTAGAAAATTAGCAATTGTAAAATTCCCCTCGCCTTGGGGAGGTTTGTGAAATTTTCTTCGTTTGCTGTCATGAATCTCGCAAACCTCCCTGGGAATTCAGGGACACTATTTTTTCTCATATAGTCTTGGTATATCACTTATACAATATATATATATATATACAGTATATGTACAATGGCATCTCTATGGCACCTAAAAATGGCATCACCATGATAATTATATACACAAGAACTTGAATGATTAATGCTCTGCGACTAAGCTTACTAAAATTTTAATATTTAAGCAGCTGAAATTTCGGTTTTACAGTATTTAGCTTTGCCTGTATTTACATGGTTCTTGCATGAAAATACACTAACAACAACAACATTAGGTGGGGACACCACAACAGTTTTTAAAATACCAATTACTGCGGATCCTTGAATGTACACATATCTATAGCTAATGTCATTCATGACTTTACCAAAACAATTACACAACTTATAACTAACAGTAATAAGTACATAACACAAGATCACTGTTACTAAACGATCTGTAAGCAATATTGAATAATACAAGCGACCTGGGGATTGCCCTTGCTTTTCCCAGCCTCGGCACCTATTGCCTTTTATAAGTTCCCACTAATGAAGTCCGTTTTCAAAGCTGCGCTGTTTCAAACGATTCAATTTTCCACCACTTTTACAGTTTTATGGACTGTGTCCAACTACGGCAGATTTATGAAATGCCATGACATGTTTATAACCTACATTCAATGACTACTATATGGTGTGGCCTTGACTTTGGAAGAGTATTACTCAAGGTCATTCAATATATATTCATCTATTCAAGGTCATGCATTCAAATATTTCTAAATAACATAGGGGAGAAAAATTGAATTTATATCAAAAGGTCTATTTTGTAAAAACCTGTCATGAATTTGTTGACTGAATTTTATGCACGTCAGTTATATTACGCACGTTGCTATCTGATTCTTTTTGCTTTAGCCAGGTGCGAATCATCGACGAAGAGAAACTGGCAAGATCCGACCCATAAGATGTATCGATGTCAGTTCATAAACGTCCTGGCCTCTGCCACAAGTTTAAAATTTGTTCTTGCCAAGTATGTGCAAATTTTTTTATCGAAAACTTACTTTGACTCTGCGACTTTCCCGACGGCCTTCTTTTTGATCCGCCATCTTGGCCTACCAGATTTAGGCTTACCAGATTCAATGTCTATAAGTAGAAAAGAAAGAGTAAGAATAAATTTAGTCTTTCTTATGAACGACGAAAAACTTTTACTGATCTAAAAGGCAACATGGTTATAATATACACGATACTTCATGCTTGTTTCAGCTAGTTTGAGCTTTAAAGATGAGTGCACAGATGAACTACAAATGCACAACATGAAGAGCCGAAGTAAAATTGTAAAGTCAGACTTTAGAGTATGGGCAAGCCCTGTGCCCACGACATTAGCTAGTATCTTTTAACAGAACCCAAAATTTGCTTAGTCATTAAAAATTTGGACCAATCCCAGGAAAAACCCTGCAGAATATGTTAAACTATTGCGTAAAAATCGTTTTTACAGTACAAGAAGGCCAATGTTGCAACAGTTGTTGTTTTTGCCATTTTTAAGCTTTGACAACTACAAATTCTTGCGAAAAACGCCAGAATGCTTCACTTATACAATAAAATTAGGCTGCATTTTTAATGCCCGACTCGGGTGGTGGGTTTTAGTTGCGTGTCCAATTAAAAATATGTGTCAAACAAAAATATTAGTTGATAACTTACTTGTCACAGGAGATACTTCGACTTCGCTTCGGCCTTCAGCCAGGCTCTCGGAAAACACCAGTGGAACGCAGAGAAAGAACTGCTAAATAAGAAAGGACTATCATTATTCACAATTACCTATAGTCATTACTCTAGAACAACGCAAGTTGTACCATGATAAAACAAAGCACATACCGTGACGATATAATTCTTCGAATTTGCAAAACCGCATCGGTCGGAGAGAAAAGCCTTTCAAATGCCTCTTGGTCCAACGCATTTGCTAAAAACACTGCTTGTTACATGTTCTTAGCTAGGACCATATGTGATTGGCTAAAATTGCCGCCTTTCGTTTTTGTGAATCTTGATTGGCTTTTCAACATCTTACAGAGTTGTTGCGTATTTCCGGTTGTTTCGATTGAGCTACATAATAGACAATCCAGAAGACTTCTCTCAGGGCCTGTTCATATGGGCAGAAGTTATCCCGGTTAGCGAGAAAACTTTTCGACAAGTTTACGAGCGAGATCTCGCCTTGTTACGAAAATAATATGAAAAGTTACATTCCGTTCATATGAGACGAAAAGTTTTCCCGTGTACCGAGATCTTGCTTGTTGACAGGCAATATCTCGGTGACCGGGATAATGTTTTTCCCCATATGAACACAACTTTCCCGCTTAGCGGGATAACCTTTTGTCATGTCAGCAACTTTTCAATTCAATTGATGTTCAGTGCTAGGTCACAGCCGGAAACTTTTCCCGGTAAGCGGGATAATATTTCTCCATATGAACAGAACAAAAGTATTTGGCTAGTCGAAAAGTTCTCTCGCTAACCGGGATAACTTTTGCCCATATGAACAGGCCCTCGGATGTCTTGTAGATTGTCTATGGCTACATACATTATTCTTATCGTTTTTCTCGGAAAAAAAACGTTATGCCGTCCGTTCCTATTCCCCGTCCCATTTCCCGTTCCCCATTCTTATTTCCTGTTCCCATTCCCCGTTCCCATTTCCCGTTCCTATTCCCCCATCGCATTTCCCGTTCCCATTTCCCGTTCCCATTTCCTGTTCGTCCTCGTCCCCAGGGCCTTGCAGCCCCGCACGACCGCTAAAGGCCCTGAAATTGAGCGTTCCGGAAGTGCCCATTTTCTGCACTAGATTACAATGCAAATGCCTGCAAATCAACAGGTCTAGGGTACTAAATGAAGTATTCATACCTTTGAAAAGATATCATTACAGAGTCATTGACTTGTTTTGTGTTAAATTGCTCACCAAAATAAAAAGTTGTACATTTCAGGCAATTAGCAGTTATACTCATAGCCAATCAGATATCTACTTTTGGCCATCAATCCCAGAGCCTTATTTTCCACGAGGAACCGAGTAAAAAAGGCTCAGGGGACGAGAATGATTCCCCGTTCCCATTTCCGTTTTCACCAGGGGCCGGTTGTACGAAAGGTGGATACCGCTATCCGCCGGATCGCGATTTTTTCAGACTCTGTAAAACTGTTTATTTACTGGTATATGCCTGACTAAAGTTCAGTATTTTCGAGTTGAAGTTTCGTTTAATTAATTGTAAGTTTGATATTTGTAGTTTTATAGCTTTTCAAGCATTTTTACGACGTTTGAAAAATCACTATCCGGTGGATAGCGCTATCCAGCTTTCGTACAACCGGCCCCAGGTGGAGAGTAATATACCTATGTGCTGACATAAGTACTCATCGGAGGCATATCAGATAGAGGCTCGTATATAGCAGTCAATCGAGACGTCTTTTTATTCATTTTATGCACACTTACACACGGCGAATTTTTGGCGCAATAAAGCAGTCAACCAATAGCATCGCCTTCGAGACTCGTAATATATGTTTTATCACTCTCGTGATAAGTATTGTCCCTCGATATCGTCTTATAACCTATACGTATGCCAACGATACGACCCTTTATGCCACTGCACCGGCCAAAACCAGATCTAATTGCAAAAATCTTCAATATCATTTTAGGTAAAGTCCATTCCTCTGGTGCTGCCATTTTTGCTTGTCCTCCATTCCGGGAAAACCGAGTACATGCGAATGAGTCGGACAAAGTTTACCTTACCTCTTCAGTGCGTTGGATTATAGGAGGAATTGAGAGAAACTCTTTGAATCAATCACATTAGGTGTAGACATAGACTGCAATTTGAAATCAAAGGTTTATCCATGTGTCCTCCTCAATTATCTTATTAAATAAGAAACCTAATCAGCCCAAGTCTTGAGTGCAAAACGTGTGTTCTGTAATGGAATCACTGTATGGGGCCCGGATCTTGTGGGTAAATGTTGTTTCATGGGCTGGGACGAATGCAGCTTGATCTTGGAAGGTTCCAGTCACCATAGGAACTACCAAACGACGGGCAGATGACGATTTTAAATCTTTAAAGACTTTTGAGGCCCACACACTGGACGCGATTTGGCAATGCGCCGCAATTTTCTGGTTTTCAAAAGTCGGCAAATTTGCTCTTTGAAAAATTCTATATTTCAACTGCTGAACTCATCTACTTTTCATATCTACCAATGTTTTCTTTTGTATACCAATTTATTTGCTTTTGAAAAAATAAAAATCGCGCCGCGTCGCCGAATGGCGTCCGGTGTGCTGGTGTGTATCCGCCTTTACGCTCTTCAAGTTTCACACAGCTTTGAAAATAAGTTTGTTGAGACGGCTCTGAAGTAGCATCTAGAAATCAGGGGTGCACGGTAAGACTTCCAAAAGTAAGACCCTAAACTGCAAAGTAGAGTTTTTATTTCAATGGAGGAAAGTTGCGTAACGAACTCCCGTTGAAAATTCGTAAAGCTGGGACTTCGCAATGTTTCAGAAGAGGGCTTAATGATTCTTACACAACACGCGTGGATGACTTTTGAACAATTCAAACTTTTAATTGATGAGTAACGAAAGTTTTATTGCATGTATATATTGTATTTAATATTTAGTTTTTAGTACAGTTTTACATGATCTCTTTTGATAACAGTTTGTTGTGAACTTCCACATGTAGCTATTTTGTATATGAATTCGTTTATAATAATAATAGTGATAGTCTGACAATATATATTTAGCATAAATTTCCAGGTAACTATAACATTTCTTGCAATCTGTTTGGTCGACGCAGCCAACTTTCACGTGATAGTTGCTGGCTGCTCTGCCTGCTCAGCAACTATTCGGCGCCTTACCGTAAGCTGTATAATTGTCAATTTGTACAGGGTGTATCAAAAAAGGTAGTCCAACTTTGCATGTCATAGTGCATTAATTACGAGGTGTACGAGCGTAATTTTCGCATAGCCATAAGTGTCCTACCATACCCATATTCGCATAGTGTTATTCTGAGCAAATCGGAAGAAATATGTGAACGATAAAAATAGTCGGTCGAAATCGCATATTTCCACCTCTGTACCAATCTCGTTCCCCGAGCCTGCGATCCTCGGGAAGGAACGCGAGGCTCTGGGATAATCCGTTTCAGGGAGGAATCTGATTGGCCGTTGAAATGGATGCGTAGTTCAATCTTAGCCAGAATTCTTGGCTTCCGGCAACGGATTATCCCAGAGCCTCGCGTTCCTTCCCAAGGATCGCAGGCTCAGGGAACGAGATTGCCTCTGTACCTAATTAAAGCAGTGCATAACAATCACGAATGTGTCATCATTTTACCAGGCATCATTGGTAATTATGCATATTCAGGTCGTTTCAGTATTGATGTGATACGATGTTCGTCGTCTTCGAGTCCCAGATGGAGTAAATTTTCAATAGGTTTAGCCTCAATTCTTAACGGTGAAAGTATGTGATTTCGACCGGCAAATTTTAATAAGCTCATACTTGCTCCGTTTTGCTCAAAATGGTACAACAGCCTTGTCATTCAACAGCTAAGACCTTGCTCTTCATGATCATGCAAAAATTACGTTCATACACCCAGTAAATAACGCACAATGGCACGCCTAAATTGGATTACCTTTTTGATACACGTTGTTTATTTCACAACTAAACTTGTCATAGCTGTCCAACTTAAAGTATGAAATCCTTTTCAAAAATTCTTCTCAGATCTTGAGTCACCGATGATGTTCTCTTGCGGATCTGTTATCTCCTAAAAGAGAGACCACACGGTGAATATGTGATGGCAATCTTCTAAAATCACTCGTGCACAGTACGAAACTTGTGCACTCGTGATTTTAAACCTAACAAAACACTCCTGTTCGTGTTATTAAACGGCAAGTAAAGCATATGTAATCGAGACACGGTCTGTTTGTCTTTTTGTTAAGATCAGCTTGCGTAGCAATAACTGCCTGACACGCTGGCTATGTTAATGCACACATGTGCACGGTGAAGAAAATGAATTTTTGGCACGACGAGGCAACCATCCAAATCGTGTTGCTCCCCAGCATAGTGTTGCTACCCGAATCACTCAGCCGCAATGTTGAAGTATTAGCAAAATTTCAGAAAAAATAATTTCTGTCACATGCAGCATAAAACGCAGTTCATTACGCATCGACGTTTTGAAGTTTGAACTTTGCCTAAGTTTCTAAAAAGTGTAGTTAAAGTAACTGTAGTTATAGTGTAAAAGTTAACCAATCAGAATTGCCCATTTTAGCAGGGATCGAAATTTACGCCATTCCGCGTACAGCTAATTTAATTAAAGTTGTCAGCGGCAATCAAATCTATGACGTGAGTGCTAAAAGAATGCCGGAATACTCGTATTTTAAATAAGGTTAACACATTAGTAACCTCTTAGGAACATATATCAGAAGGCAGCAAAAGTTCTACTCACTACCTAAGCGATACAAACAGATTCAACGTTTCAAGCAAAGGCCCTTCGTTGGGAATTAGTGTGGGGGGTCGGGGAAAGCACGCGTGTTTTTATACAAGTGAATATATAATAAGTAAAAACCAATCAGATGGATTTGATCAATACAATGAATAAATAAAAATGCAAATCATACTATATTTTATATACAGGGTTAAAAATAGGCGTTATGTGAGAAGGCATGCAAAGGGCTAACAAAACAAACACAAAGGTATAGGTCTGGATTAGACCTGTCTATGTCTGAGCAAGTCGGACAAAAACAGGTCACACTAAATGAGGGAAAAACGCTCGTAAATACCAAGGGGGTGTACAGTTCCAAGTTTGGAAATGAGATGCATTTCTTGTCTTTTGCGGCTATCGTTGCTACCAGAAATGGGACAGAGGGCTCGAATTTTCATGTCTGAAATGCAATGACTACCAGAATTGAAATTTCTGGCAACAGGCTGGTTAGCATCGTTGGCAGAAACTCCACGACGATGCTCACCGAACCTTGTCCTCAATTGTCTTCCAGTTTCTCCAATGTACAGTAAAGCATGCCACATCTACTGCAGGATATACAGTAAATGAGATAGGTGGAAGTGCACGTGAAATTGCACGTGAAATGACAGTGGAGGAATCTATAAACTTACAAGTTTTACACTGGGCTACTTCAAGTAGCCCAGTGTAAACTTCACAGGGAAAAGTACCACTAAGTGGTGACGATTCCTGGTGTAGGTTACTAGGGTTTCTCGAATGTTTTTGCTGTCTCGAAAAGAGACTAATGGGTTATTGGAGAAAATGGAAGATGTTTCAGGGTCATTTTTCAAAATATAAAAATTCTTCCATTTTCTCCAATAACCCATTAGTCTCTTTTCGACGCAGCAAAAACATTCGAGAAACCCTAGTTCATAGTAACCTACACCAGGAATCGTCCCGCTTAGTGGTACTTTTCCCTGTGGAGTAGCTCGTGGAGTTTCTGCCAACGAGCTAACCAGCCTGTTGCCAGACATTTCAATTCTGGTAGTCATTGCATTTCAGACATGAAAATTCGAGCCCTCAGTTCCATTTCTGGTAGCAACGATAGCCGCAAAAGACAAGAAATGCGTCTCATTTCCAAACTTGGAACCGTACACCCCCTTGGTATTAACGAGCGTTTTTTCTTCATTTAGTGTGACCTGTCTTTGTTTGACTTGCTCAGACATAGGCAGGTCTAATCCTACCTTTGTGTTTAGTTTTGTTAGCCCTTTGCATGCCTTCTCACATAGCGCCTATTTTTAACCCTCAACCTCGTTCCTGGGGCATTTCCTTGGATTGGGGAATGACGGAAACTATTTCCCGCCATCCCTCAAGCCAACGGAAATGCCCTGGGAACGATATAGGGTTAAAACAACCTTGTTCCCATATATATACATAAAATATAGTATGATTTGCATTTTTATTTATTCCTTGTTTTGATCAAATCCATCTGATTGGTTTTTATTTTGTTACGTGTCGTTTTAATATATTCACTTATATAAAAACACGCGTGCTTTCCCCGACCCCCACACTAATTCCCGACGAAGGGTCTTTGCTCGAAACGTTGAATCTGTTTGTATCGTTTAGGTAGTGAGTAGAACTTTTGCTGCCTTCTGATGTTGTTATCCGCTACCTACACTGGCCACGTATTGAAGTTGGGAACATATAGCATTTTGTTGTAAATGGTTGAATGATCAAAACTATGTGATTATTCCCATCATTCTTTTGGCGCTCATATTGTAGATTTGACTATTGTCACTGACAACCTTAAATGACAACCTTATAGTAAAATGTTAGACGGAATAGTAAATTTTATGATTTTGGTATTCCGTTGGAATAGTAGAAAACGTTATCAACTTATTGGTATCACTTTTATCACCGTTCAACATTTCGTATTTGAATACTTTATTGTACAGCACAAAAAATTGTTCAACTACTACTGTATTTTGATTTCAAAAATTACCAGCATTTTCACATGATACAGGTACGAAAATCTTTTGATTTATTCCCCGAATCCCCTTGCCGGCCATTGTTGTTTTCTACAGGGCTTTGATGAGCATGCGTTATTCCGAAGCAGAAAGCGCTGCTGAGACAGGTCTCAAATCTATTTGTGTTCACGTTCGTCCCGCTCTGAATTTGTCCCGCGGTCCCGGTCAGAACATAGTCAGCTTGATCCAGCAGGCGGGATGAGTCCAGACCTGTCTGGGCATTTTCCATCCCGGTCTCATGTAAACGGGACCTAATACGATATTGTTGGGGTAGAAAATGGTATTAGGTGTTGGATCATATTACCTTTTATCATCCGAATGCTATGTTGTCAAGTTGCAACCAGCGATATCCGCGTCTACATGAAAATTTAAAATAACTGATTTAGAAATCTAAATTATTAACAGATAAGAAACAGGGGGAGCTACCAAGTCTGAAAACCGCGAGCCCAGCCCTAAAATGTGCGGACTTTCGAATCTCACTAAATATCGTATCTAAGAGTGGCATTGAAAGGAAATTACGGTTTTTCTCAACACAACTTTAGCTAAACATTATCTCGTCCTTCAGCGATGTGAAAGTTTGTGTCTCTGTTCGCGCGATGCGAAGTGAAAAAAACAAAAATTCAGCAAATCGATTGGTCGGCGTAAAGGTTTGTGTTGCAACCAATATGTACTATATTTAGACGGGTTTTGTGTATATCGAATCCTATGAATAAAGTGCTTAATACCATAGGAAATATTTCTGGAGGGTCTTAGTATCACGTGGAAATTATACACATTTCAACATGCCATGTGCTCAAACTGCGAGCAGTGAGCTTAGCTATACATAGTGCAAATAGTGAACGTCTTACATACTGTGCACTCAATCCAAAAGTATATAAAATAAAAGTAAATATATGTATACAGCTATTCCAATTAAGGTTGTCTTGAAGAGAAGGGAAAAGGTCGAATATGAGCGCGAAAGGCTTATCGGGAAAGACTAGTTTGATTCCCGAATACATTACCATTCATAGGTTTTCCACTAAGTTTAAAATTAGATCTTGCTTTCTTATATAAATTTAAATCGCGACTACGTATCTCTAGAAACTAAATTTTGTTCTGTTTGTGTATTTTTAATCGTCACTCCCAGCAAGCTTTTGGCGCTCGTATTCGACCTTTTCCGTTTTTCTCGGGGACAACCTTAATTGAAATAGCTGTATACACAATACACAATAGGTAATACTGTATAGTAATAACCATTGGCAGAGTGCTCAATGGTACACCAGAGCATATTATGATGAAAGTTCAAATTCAAAAACTCAACAGTGATGAACAAAAATTTTATTACTAGTTAGTTTCGTATACCACACGTATTGTGGGCACATGCACAGATAAAATTGTCTAATGAGGACTGTGAATATATACCACGGATTACATCAACCGCGGGAGGGCACATTATATACACTTGATATATTTTGCTCACTGCTCATGCAGTTTGAGCACTTTCTTGGATTGGGTGGAGAGTCTCTATGTAGGTTCACTATTTGCACTATCCATTGCTCACTGTTCGCAGTTTGAGCAACCACTGAATTCAAAAAAGATTGCCTTCAACCTTAAACTCTGAGTGCGCAAGGATTCGCTACTCTGCGCAAGGATTCGCTACTACTTTGCTAGTCAGAGTTCACGCCACTGAGAGCGATCATCAGACAACTAAAAAGACAGTTTGACTATTCATCTTTTATTGTCCCTATGATGTAACATCTTTGGAATGTGATGACGTCAAGATGCTCGATGCTATAAAAGAAGAATAGTCAAACTATCTCTTTAGTTGTCTGATGATCGCTCTCATGCAGTGGCGTGAAACTCTGCGAAAAAACCGAACAGTTTTTAAGTTATGTTATAAATTGCTCTATCATTTTTTTGTATTGAGCTCAACAAGGTTGTCTCCTCAAATAGTACTGACATCAAAAAGCAACACAAGTTCTACTCACTACCTAAACGATACAATAAATTGGGTTGTGAGTAGAACTTTTGCTGCTTTTTGATGTTGTTATCCATACACTGCATGGCCACATATTGAAATACATCTGACACGTGATCACATATATCTGACACATGACCACATATTTGGAATCGTTAACTGGCCCTGACAACTAATTATCTCTAACAACTAATTATCTCTAACAACTAATTATAATTTACTCTTTGCTACAAGGAGTCATGGCAATCGAATGAACCATTTTTATGTTTATATTTTTATAGGCAACTTAACTGTTTTGCAATGTTTAAGGCTTTCCTACTAGTTTTCTAGCACACGCAGTGTGCAATATTATGAAGTATACATATATCACACAGTATGCATACATGTAAATTGCATGTGTTTCTATTGATTTGCAATTCATTTAACTGAGACATATAAGGGGATAATGTCTAGATTTTAGATTATATAGCAATTGCCAATTTGCATTTGTACTATATTAATAATATATGGTAAAATATGTAAGTATGAACATTTAATTTGCCAGACATCCTCACAAAATAATTTGCCAGACTGCCAGTTATATATTCGTGGCAAATGTGCTTATGGTATAGTTATACTGCAGCCATGAAGGACTGAAGCGGGCAATAATATAAACTTTATGCCCACACTGTAATTATGCAACTACATATTACAACATATTATACGAAATCCAACACTTTAATAGCAACAAAATTTAAAAATTAATATATTGTCCAGAGAACAAGCCATAACCATACAGATTTAAAACACATATACATACGACTTTCCTATTAAACATGAACCTTAGCAGAATGCATTCAAGGCAACAAAGGCGCCATGCCAGTTTAACGCTAAATATCCCTATAATATCCCAAACGTATCCTTTAAAAACCCAAGCCCAGTGATCAAGAATCGGATATTCTTCTATGAGCGGGGACCATTATATTTATATTCATACAGTAGTAAACAATGCTATAACTCAACAGAAATGAAGCTGATTTTGTGATAAAGGATGAAAAAATGTTTAGACTAAATTCATGCCACACTATAGGATGTGTGCACGGTCTCTTCAATCGAAATCAAATGGTGCTTCTCACACTTCTTGCAGTATACAACCGAATTATGTGATTCATGATTTGTTTTCAAGAGAAGTTAATGCATAATTCTACATAGAATAGGAAATAAATAGAAGGGCAACTCATCAGTGCAACATGTCCCCCTATTTTTGAGCAGTTTACTGGCCAGAATAATGGCGGAACAGCCAGTTCAGCGTTTCTATTGGCTAGAGAGAGAGAGAGAGAGGAGAGAGACAGGCGGATCAATATTTAACAAATATAAAACATTTTCCGTGTTGATATACAGTTATATCAACACGAGTGGAAATTGGGAAAACGAGATTTCGAGTTTTCCCAACTTCCATAACACAATTTCGAGTTTTCCCAACTTCCACGAGTGTTGATATAACTATATATCAATTCGGAAAAAATGTTTTATATTTGTTTTATAATATAGCAATGTCAAAAGCCCGAAGAATAAGAACAATTTCCGTGTTACAAGCGGCGGAAAATTTCCCGTGTTGACATGGAGTTATATCAACACAGCTCTTAGCCAATCAGCGTTCAGAATTTACAAATGCTATATTATAAATATCTATATTGCACAGGACAACGTTTTTGACAAGGACTAGATATATTTATCATTTATATAGACCTGGAGCGAGGGGGATTCAGTGCAATATTACCCGAGGTGATAAAATAAAAAAAAATAAAATGAAATATTAAGTAAAATAATTATTAAATATAGGGTGCATGTATAAAAAAAAGGTAATCCAACTTTGGCATGTCATAGTGCGTTACCTACGAGGTGTAACGTAATTTTTGCATATAGTCATAAAGATCAGGCTCTCAGCAGTTCAATGACATGTTTTTGTGTCATTCTGAGCAAAAAGGAACGAATATGAGAACAATAAAAATTGTCGGTCGAAATCACATATTCTCACCTCTGTACCTAATTAAAGCAGTGCACAACAAAAGAACACGCAATTAATCATGAATGCATGTGTCATGGTTTTACCAGACATTATTTAACAATTATTTGCCGAAGGCGAGGTGATTATCGGTGAATAAAAACCGAGACGAAGTCGAGGTTTTTATTCACGATAATCACCGAGCCTGAGGTGAATAATTGTTTTAGTATAATTTCATAGGTGATTATTTGGAAACAAATTTTGAAATGCACATTTCTTCATCATTTAATTGACAAAACGGCTTCGACCGCCATTTTGAAAATCGCTCAGGTGATTATCGCGTAATAATCACCTCAACAGCAACCAATCAGCATGGAGAATTTTCAATAATCACCTATGTAATTATACTAATAATAATTATGCATATTCAGATTGTTTATTGAAGTGATGTTCGTCATGTTTGAGTCCCAGAGGGAGTAAATTTTCAATAAGTTTAGCATCAATCCCATGCACGATGAAAATATGCAATTTCGACCGGCAATTTTTATTAGGCTCATACTTGCTCCGTTTTACTGAAAATGGCACAAAAAACTTGTCATTCAACTGCTAAGACCTTGCTCTTTATGACCATGCCTAAATTACGTTCATACACCCAGTAATTAACGCACAATGGCATGCCAAAGCTAGATTACCTTTTTTTATGCACTCTGTACAGGGACCAGGGTGAGTAAAAAAAAACTAGTCTGACACCTTTCATATTCAAATTAGCCTCTAACTTATTGCTGGAATTTGACAATTCCCATGTGTACAGCCAACAGGACGTTGGTAATGAACGCAAATTAGTATTAAGAATGCATTTTCACTTCCACAGGGAATAAGATTTATGTTTTCGAATAATTAATGTTCACTTATTCGATATGCTTTGTATACCCATGAGATATTTAAGGAACTTCTGTGAAATTCCTGCCGCGATGCGGCTAATTTGAATATGAAAGGTATCAGGGTTTTTTTACTCACCTTGTACCGAACTATGTACAGTATGTAGTACATGAATTTATAAACTAATTGACTTACGTTCAATCACAACAATTCTATTATAGCCAGGATGGCCGCTATGAGACAGATTTCAATAGAATTGATAGAAGTACCAATAGTAGTTGCAATACCTGGAAATGTGAGTAATGAATAATGTGAGGCATAGTATATAACAAAATAAAATACTGCCAAGTGCCAATTAGTGATCAAACAAATTTATTGTGCTAATCAGTTTCTGAAACTATAAATGCGCTCGACTTTAATAGTTATTTTACTTAGTGACAAGACTAACACTAGATAATTTTATCCTGGCGGGTACTAAATGCCAAACAATTTTACTCATCAAGGGGAGAGCTTGCACACAAATGGGTTAACCAAACTACATTTATTACCAATGTATATCATACATCAAAATTGTAAATCGCTATTTTAGGCCGTGGGCTGTTGTGCGAAAAAGTGCATTGTACTACAGCAAGAAAATGTAAAATTTTGTATTCAATTACAACAAAAATGACTTGCATTATCAGAAAGCTTACAAAAATCTACATAAAAAACTTTTAAACAGTTTTTTTATATCTAAAATTGTTTTCGAGTTATACACTGTCAAGAACGCGTTTTTGACCTAGTACCCAGTCCTTATTGCAACATTTTGGTCCAATTTTCACATTTAAAACAGCAAATTATAACTCAAAGACTATTTGAAAAATCAAAAAACTGTTTAAAAGTCTTATATGCGGTTTTTTGTACGTTTTCCGATGATGCAAGTCATTTTTATTGTAATTGAATACAGAATTTCCCATTTTTTTTCAGTAATACAATTTAATAGAGGATAATCATTGATCACCCATTTTCTCGGGATTGGGCAACTTTTTTGCTTGGGAACTTTTTTTGGTAGTGATGTACCTATATGCCTTTCAAATAAACCCCAAACCAAGTATTTCCCACATGGGTGCCACAAAGCGAAATAATTTTGGCCAACAGCCCACAGCCTATTTAGCATTAGCAAACGTCAATACGCAACCTCGTACCCAAGGCATTTTGCTTCCGGTCAGCGAAAATGGCCCTGGCATCGGCCGGTCACATGACCTCAAAATCTCCAGTATTTGGGGTGTTCAATTATGATAATTTATGTGTATAAGTACGTATATAGAATAATTATATACATTTTAATTTCTCACAGGGGCAAACAAACTCAATGCGGCGTATATAATCAAAGAGAAATTATTCGGTTTTCGTTGTTTGCACCTCATTCAGCAACATAGCCCGTAATGTTGATGGTTTTTAAACATATTCAGAGCCTGGTTAGCCTGTGAGTCAATTCTTAATTAATGAACAACCAAACAAAACAAAACCGCTTCAGCGTTTGGTTTATATAAGTTGTGTTATGACTTATGACCAAATATATTCGTATCACAATCTTTATCTGACTATAACGCTGTACATTTCCTGAAATCAACGATGTATAAACGACGCATGTGAGAAATGTATGTTGAACCGATGCAAAAACTCGTCTATACAAAATGTACAAAGACTTAATTTGGACCAAATTGTTTTGTGATGTTTTGTCTTTCCCTAATTCATGCTATATCTCAAGCAAAATGTCAAAAATCTTATTTACTAAATACTTTAGTCCTTCAAGAACTAATTATAAATTAGTCATTCTACTCTCGTTCCACCAAAATAATAATTATTCCCACATATATATTGAATAATTACATTCAAAATCATTGAGATCGGAAGAGCACAGACCAGCCGAAGCCAGGGCCTTTTTGCTGACCATTCAACTGCGGAAGCAAAAAGTCCTGGGTACGAGGTTGGTCAATACGTGGCCAGTATAGGTTGGGGATAACAACATCAACAAGCAGCAAAAGTTCTACTCACTACCTAAACATTACAGGTTCAACGTTTCAATCAAAGGCCTTCCGACGAGAAGGGCCTTTGCTCGAAACGTCGAATCTGTAAACGTTTAGGTAGTGAGTAGAACTTTTGCTGCTTGTTGAAATAGCTATTTAACATAGCTATTTAACATCGGATGTCCAGCTTATTTTGCCCTAAATCTTACAGTCAATAGACCTTTCCACTTTTAAGTGAAATTTTGATCTAGACAAGTCTGGACAAAAATTTCATCACAGCTTGAAAGAGCATCACAAAATTAGTAATATTCCGAAGTTTCGTTGCAAAATGTTGCAAAATGCGGATATAAATATAGCCTTGAGAAGTTTGCCGTTTTTCAGTCATTTTGCATTACAATCTAACATTTTGCATCAGTTTGATCATCTGATGCAAAATGTTAGATTGTAATACAAAATGACTGAAAAACGGCAAATTTCGCAAGGCTATATTTATATCCGCATTTTGCAACGAAACTTCGGAATATTACTAATTTTGTGATGCTCTTTCAAGCTGTGATGAAATTTTTGTCCAGGCTTGTCTAGATCAAAATTTCACTCATAAGGGGAAAGGTCTATTGGCATTCATGATAATATAGAAACTTTAAGATAAATATACTGTTGACATATTATATATTAATAATTTTAACAACAAAACTGCCGTGGCAAAACTTACATTGGACTTGACACACTAGAACAAGAGCACATGACGCTTGTGTTCAGGAGGCACAATTTCGTTGATTTGCTGTGATAATTCTTTTCATATAAATTCAGATTAATTCTGGGCCAAAATCCAATGAACATGAAAAACTCACTTTTGCTTCTCTTGGTCTTGAGATACATCCACATCGCTTGCTCAGTGTGGTGTATACGCAGACCAGTGTCAGTGTTTAGACGTTACGTTTTCTGTTTTTTTACTTCTTTTCTTCTATTATATAGTTTCAAAACAAGCAGAAGACTCCCATTTACTTTTATAGCTAATTCCCAGTGTTTCCACAACGCATCATTCAAATTTCCTTGATTTTGCTTTAAAATTTCCTTGAAATTTCCTTGATTAACCGAAGTATATTTCGGCAACTAGAATTAATCAATACTTATATAAAGTAAGACAGAAACAGAATGGTACGTTTATTTCGTACAACTCTTAAAAACAAAGCCTTTACACAACAATTTTGAAAGCTTTAAAATGTAAAATAATAGAGTTTTAATATTGTTCTCACAGGGTTTTTTAGGATTTTCTCTTGGGTCCGTTTTTGCAGACTTTTTGTTACCGTAATTTTTTGGTAAAACACTCCAGATATATATTTTGTTTTTGGACGGCACAGAAAGTTGTCCAATCGTTGATGTTCATGGGATTGAATTGATACTGTTGTAGTGTGAATCTCGTGTACGGGTTAATACCCATTTGTACAAAGTCATTCACCATTGACACCAGTTGCAGCCGGATGCAAGGGAGTTAAGCCGTATTTTTTGGAACACACTTGCAATAAATTGGCATATGCATTCGCACACTGAATTGGTAGTGGCAAATTTAATGGCATATTTACATCAACTTTGCGCAATGGGCAAATGTATTGGAAATATTAGAAGTCAGTTAAAGCCTGGTTCACATATGCCTGCGGCATGCCTGTGACTGTATCATTATGCCTCTACTTGCCGCCGAAATACCGGCAAAGTTGAGCTCAAGTCAACTTTCCCGGCCTACCGCCGATGTAACTGTGGCACTGGAGGCAATCGGCGAACAAATGTTCACATAATTTACGTTTTAAAGCTACCATCGGCATCGTCGCCGGTACGTCGCAGGTACGTCGCAGGCATATATTTAATGCATTAGGCCATTCCTTGATTCTCATCACCGCCCGACGATATTTTGGTTTCCGCGTTGATATATTTTTGTATTTTGTTATAAAATATATATTTACCGCCCGACCGAGCATCTTCAGAGATTTAGTTATTTTCATATTTTATATTGGAATTTTTGCGATATAAAATTGTTTTATCGTTAATATTGTTTTATGTTAAGGGATGCTTGGAATACTGAAGGGGAAAATGGGCTTAAGTAGCCTTATTACAACAATTTGTGTGGACCCTTATGCATGTTCATTAGCGCATGTGCAATTATCCACTTATATAGCGTTCTTCTATAATATATTTAAGGGCAAATATAAAAAGACCTCCCTCTCCAATTTTTTAAATTTTAAACATTTTTTTATATTTTGACATAAAATATAATATAAAATATAAACCTCCCTCCTCCTGGGAGTTTTTAAAATTTA